AGATAACATACAGCGCTGAGACAGACCTCTGGAGAAAGCTTAGAATATAACGGAAAGATCGATACCTAACTCGATCCAGTTCAATCCGATTCAGTCAGTCATAGAGCCTTCGCCGTAAACGATGTTCGTGCGTCGAAAAATCGACGCGTGACACTACACAAAGTGTGTAGCGCGTCGATTTTTCGACGATGGACGCTCGGAGGGTTAAGTGATGTTATATCACAAAAAGGCAAATAGAATGGTAGGTAACCAAATCAGCTCTTAAAGCCCATTGTAGACCTTTGTTTTTTCAAAACTAGAATATTGAATGTCATTAACCTGTACATATATGTGTGTTTATTTAATGTTAAATTAAAATTAGGAGACTTGGTTGTTAGAAAAGATTTCCATTCTCATTACACTCAACCTAACCCATACTTAGGAATGTGCCAAAATGACCGATTTTGGGTAAACCCTGGTTAAGTTAGGTTAGGTTAGTATTAAGTTACTGACACAAAGTAAAAAGAAGTTGGATACAGTCTCTTCAGTTTCTTAACTTAGCTATGCTAATACCGGTACCAATTATTAGTAGGTTTTAAAATCTTCATTCAATGTTCTCACCATCAGCAAGTTTGCTTAAGGTTAGGTTAGGTTATGACAGTTTAATTTTATAACTGATTACCTGGTAAATATATCATTTATTAAACGATATTTTCAATTTAATAGTTTCAATCGATATTAGCATTAGTTAGGCCTAGTCCAGTTAAGAAACTGTACCCAAAGAGTTTTTCATGTGTCTAAAATCGCCGATTTCTAGCATTTTTCTTGATTTTTAAACACGATTTTCAGGGTGAAGTAGGCGTTTCCCCCAAAAGTGCCACTGGTAAAAAGTGCTTAAAATAGTCTAATTTAGGTAAGTAAGTTAGATAAGGCAAAAAATCTGCAATATAACATAAGTAGGCCTAAGTTAGTATAAGTTCAGTAGGCCTATAACTTATTACCAATAAACTGAATCCAAAATCCCAATAGCTTAGTCAAATGTTGGAAACTGACCTCCGCAAACTGACACCACGTCACAAAATTGCAGCTAATTAGGAACCAAGAGAGTGGTAGGGGGTAAAACCAGCTTTGGGGGACTCCAGGAATGAGGCGTGAGGGGAGCTGGACGTGACTGCCGACACCCATCATGCATATTAATTTCAACAAAAGTTACGAGTGCGGAGGAAAACTACGAAAGCGCCCGCTCAAGGCTTAAGTTAAGTCGGCTGCACTTTACTTGACGTCCTACACTCATTCGATTGTTTCATTCGATATATCGTTTGGTTAGTTAGGTTAGGTTAACCCTAGCAGTGGCCAATGTTAGAAGTGGGGAATGGCCAACCCATTTTGGCGATTTTGCAGACCTTTTTTTGAAAATTCGTAAAAATTTAACCGTACAAGTAAACCTAGCCAACCTCATAACTTATTCATTTTGTTCAGAAAGAACAGGAGAATTTAGAAATAGTAATATCATAATGATTTACCGTAGATAGTGTATTTTATCGGTAAAGTGAAAAAAATAAAAAAAATTGAATTTTTTTTTTTGAAATTTCAAAAGCGGCCCTGGTATTTTTTTTCTACGGATTTTTTATGGGAAATTCATTATATACATTTTGTAGACAATCCAATTTCCTACATAGAAATATATAACATGTTAGGAAAATATTTTTTTTTTATAAGTTTTTGGGGCAAAATATAATGACAAACGAAGAACCGAAAAAATTGAAAACCGTACAGTGTTACTTTATGTTGTAAAAAGTTATATAATATATGTGTACACTAATAATGATATATACATGTTTGTAAAGCTAATGAAGTAAGGAATCAAAAAAAGTCATAAAGTTTATGGTAAAAATAATTTTTTACCTATAAACATATGTATATGAAATAATGTTTTTATATTTTAGCGATTTCTAAAAAAAAAATTCACAGTATTTAGTATACAACTTTTGTACCAATTTTTTTTACTTCAAACCAACATAATAATCTTGTAGTGTATTCAATTACCTACATAAAAATGTATAACATGTAAGAAATATATTTTTTTTTTACGTTATAGGGACATAATAATATAATACCGCAAAACCACAAATAAGTGTAAACTATAGCCTACAGTGTTTGTTTGTGTTGTGAAACATTATGTAGGCTGATGATATGTAGCCTACATATTTGTAAAGCTAATGAAGTAAGGAATCCAAAAAAGTCCTAAGTATGATGGTAAAAAGTTATTTTCACCTATGATTGTGTAACAATTTGAGAACGTTTTGAATTTTTTGCACATTTCGAGAAAATGGAGTGTACAGTATTTAGTTGCCTATATAATTTTTTTACCAAATTTTTTACACCCAAACCAATATAAACATGTTGTAGTGTATTCATTTACCTTTATAAAAATGTATAACACCTTGGGTAAATCATTATATAGCATATATAGCACCTCTGAATGTCAGAATCGTCATTTTTGGACATGATGCTAACAAAATACAGTAGTAGGGTATTTAGTATAGGCTATAACTTTTTTACACAATTTTTTACCCCCAAACCATTATAGGCCTAAACATGTTTTAGTGTATTCATTTACCTTTATAAAAATGTATAACACCTTGGGTATATCATTATATAGCATGGCAAATTAAGGTCCGTCTCGTACAACAATCTCTGAATGTCAGAATCGTTTTTTTAGGACATGATGCTAACAAAATACAACCTTTTATGAACACTAATTTCACACAATTCAGTAATATTTATGCATGAAGATTACTGTTATACACACACACAAACTTCACTAACACTAACACTACGAACTAATAACGTATTTAGTAATAAATCGCGGATAACACGAGAACCGGCAACAACATAAACAAACACAATGGCGAATACAAGACAGCTGACAGACTGTAGCAGTAATGACTCACTTCCGTCGTCTACATGCGAGCATACCGAAATAACCCTGAGTGCAGGGCTGCCACTCTCTGAATCTAAATTTCTTCCTCTTCAAAATGATATACTATATGACTAGTAATAATAAATTACACTGTATGTAATTCGTATTTTCCACATCGTCATCTGGAGTCGATTGGCCATTTGTTAAAAATTTCGAAAACAGCTGTTTTCATAAAATCGCACCGGTTATGCAATCAATATTTCGTTATAAATATTACTACCACAATGAAGATAAAATCAATGGCTATCCAGTGGTACCACTTGCAACATCCCACGACGAAAATTACCCGAGCAGGGTAATGCCAAACAAGACGTGTTTTGCCAGTTCCCAAGTGTCGGCTGCAAAAGTCGTGCCGCGTCGAAAATTCATTTGATTTCTAATCGTCGTGACATTGTTATATACCTGCTACAGAGTTTGTTTATGTAATAAAATGAAAGTTCAGAATGTGATCTTTCGAATGGTATATATATTATTCTCATCTGAGTTGATTATAAGTGTTTTTTTTACCGCTAAAAAATTTTCGGCCCAGATCGTCACAAGGAGTCGTTGGCCATTCTAAGCATCAACGTCAGATCGTCACCAGGAGTCGATCGGCCACTGCTAGGGTTAACCTTACCTAATTAACCAAACGATATATCGAATGAAGCAATCGATTAATCGATATATCGATCGATATTTTCATTCGAATGAGTGTAGGACGTCAAGTAAAGTGCAGCCATTAAGTCTATTGTGAATTGAATAACTTGGGCCTAAGTTAGGCCTAGGCCTAATCACATAATATGAAATCAAGTTTACTAGGCCTAGGCTAAGTGGTTTAACTTATAAACCCTCACTTAAGTAATAACTCAACTTAAAATTTAGGCCTAGGCCTACTCAATGATGTTTGTATCTCGATTAAACTTTGAATCGAAACTTGATATAGGCCTAGGCCTAGATCACTGAGACCAACAAGTAGGTTAAGAGGGCCTAGCCTAGGCCTAATCTTACATTCTTATTAAAAAAACCTAAGCTAACTTAACCCTCCGAGTGTCACGCGTCATAAAAACGACGCACAACACACTTTGTGTAGGGTCACGCGTCGCTTTTAAGACGCACAAACATCGTTTACGGCGAAGGCTCTATGACTGACTGAATCGGATTGAACTGGATCGAGTTAGGTATCGTTCTTTCCGTAATATTCTAAGCTTTCTGCAGAGGTCTGTCTCTAAGCGCTATTCATTTTAGTTCCGAAAATATTGTAGGAGACAGCTGACGTGCGTGTATTAGTAAACAGCTAGGTTCCCCCGGACCGATGACTGATGTGTTTTATTACGTTTATAATTGTTTTAGTGTTAAAAATCAAAAGTAGTGATATACGTGGTGCATTATAAGAAGATTTAAGTGGTTTTGAAGTGCTGGTTGATGATCCTGAAGAAGTAGGTAGTGATATTGATGTAAATTATCAGCCAGATTCCTAGCTATGGTTAGGCTATGCATTCTTAGCTAAACGCTATGTACTGAAATCCGTTTTTCGCTCATAACTTATTTATTTGATAACTTACCTCGCTATATGATTATATATTTGTAATCCTCATTAAATTTAGAACAAAGTGGCTATTTTCAAATATTTATAGGCCTATAATTTATACAATTTCATTGAGCGCGAACTTATTTTTTTTTTGAAAATTTTCGAAATTATATTTTTTTTTACCTAAAGATTTTTTTTTTTTAAAAATGTTCCTTATGTTTTATATATAATATTGAAGCCCATGATTTTCCAAACAAAATGGTATATAGAACATTAGAATTAACATTGTTTTAAGCTTCTCAGATCCGTTTTAATAAAACCTTGCAAAGGGGCCAAAAATAGGTGGACATTAAGGCCTAAACTATGGACACTCGGAGGGTTAACGGTTCTAAACAGAGTTTATATTTAAGGTCTGCATTTGCAGTGAGTAGCCTATATCATAGCATAAACTTACTAGATATTAATATTTTTTTCAGTGAAAGTTATATTAGCCTAAGTGAGTTAGGCCTATTTGTAATGAACTCAAATTACCGTGTAAGATGAGGAACTACTATCTTCCTTCAATTCCTGACAATCGGGGATAGAGAAATGCATCGTGATGATTTAAAGTCTTGAGGCAAGGGAAAGATTAAAGTAGGTTATTGTAGCATAGTCTAACGCCTATTATCTCGGTAAAAAAATGTTTATAAATTCTCTCTAGAAAACCCATAAACACAAACACTTGCTGTCAGTCACTAGTCAAGTCAGTCAAACAAAAAACAAACACAACACACAACACACTACACTCACTACACTCAACACTTCTTCTTCTTCAGTAACTACTACCACTACACTACCGTCACCGTCGTGAAGTTAGCGGTTCCTTTCATCGAAGCTTTTTCGGATTGTAATTAATACGGGTTGGTACACCTGCGGACGCCACAAACGTGTTTTGCGGGGACGTCGGAAACGCAATTCAATTAAAATACGGCGCGAAATGATGTTTCTCATAAATTATGTTCTCATACTCATATTGATTGTTTTACACATTGTATATTACCATTATAAAACCTCAAAGTTGATGTGATCGGCTTAGGAAAAAGATCATGCACTTTTTATGTTAGGAGTTTTAATTGAATGCGTTTTGTTAAGCCATAGCTACGTATAATGTACAATACGGCCTCAAATATACCTATTAAAATATATGAATTAATTAGTTTAAACGTGTATACACGTTTTGTCAGGGTATTATTGACATTATATACATGTAAAAACATCATTTCACACCGTATTTTCATTGAATAGCTTTTCCGACATCCCCGCAAAACGCGTTTGTGGCGTCCGCAGGCGTACCAACCCGTATCTATTACAATCCGAAAGGCGCCGATGAAAAGATCCGCTAACTTCACAACGGTTAACTACCGTACTATCGTTTTGGTTTAAGGGGATATGGTCAAATATGCATGAAACTTTACATGGATATTGTCAAAAGCATAAACAATAAGAAAATGTCATTTTTGGAAGATTGTAAAAAATAAAATAAACACCCATTTTAGTGGTGGCGAATCCCCTTTAAAGAAACCCTTGCCGACAGACCACCACCGCCCACCACCACCCTCTACTGCTAGAGCGAAAACCATTACCGCAACACAGCCACAGGTCTCGGTGACCTTACGGACAGACCACCACCGCCCACCACAGCGCCGTGCAGAACGCATCATACCGTGCATAGCCGAACTGTCATAACCTAACCAAAAACTAACTAAACTTGCTGATAATGAAAATATCGAATGAAGGTTTACTAATAACAAAAATAGTTCTGTTCATAAAATAAAATTAAAAATGTTTAAAAATCAATTACCTATATAATTTGTTAATTATAAAATTAAACTATCATAGCCTAACCAAAACAACCAAACTTGATGATAATATAAAATATCGATTCAAAAAGTTAATGCCTCCGGTGGGTTTCAAACCGGCTACCTCCGAATGTTTAACCCGGTACTTACTTTCCGTGTCCGGAAATCAGACTTCGCTTTTCCAAAAATTAGCTACCGATATGGCTTTGTCATTGGCTTGTGGCTTTGATCATCTAATGTGCAAGACTGGTCTAGGCGTGGACAGATCAGCAGATGGCGAGGATACACTGAACAGCACCACACGCGCACAAGATGTTTTCTTCGTCTGGCAAGAGACCCCATTTCTGCATGTTTGCCTAGCATTTTGGTACCTCGACCCTGATTCGATTTAGGGTCTTCCACGCCGTGTAATGAAGGCCTCCACCAGGAGCCAGTTCCTCCATGGCTGGTATGGGAGGAGTCAACGTGGCCTCCCACCTTGCCACCCGATTGCTTGATCGTGATCCATCCATGACTCGTGTCCGTGATAAAAAGCTCTTTCTGGACCGAAGCCGTCGCTCTGCAGGTTGGTGGCCTTGTAATGGGTGACGAGAGTATGTCTCTTGCTTAGTCCTTTCTGCACATGTAAGAGTTCTGGACAAGGATAGTCTCAGCGAGGAATAATATCATTAGGAAGCTCACCAACAGATGCTGGGGTGCTAAATGTCCTCAGAACCTCAGCTTTAGCGCTCAGTGTGTCGGCTGCGGAGTACGCTGCACCAGTATGGAATGCATCGTCACATGCAAAAAAGGTTGACATTGCAGTCAATGACATGGCTCCGATTGTAGATTGTAACTGGGTGTTTAAAACCAACCCCAGTACACAAACTCTATCCTATCGTAGGGATTGCCCCTCCATCAATCCGACGTGATGTCGCTGCCGACGCAGAAAGGACTTCAGCCCGGTGCGCTATCCACTTCACCACCGATACCTATGGTTGTTCCTCGTATCGTTGCGGTAATAAATGTTCGCTCGAGCAGTGGTGGGTGGTGGTGGGCGGTGATGGTCTGTCGGCAAGGGTTTCTTAGTGGATAGCGCACCGGGCTGATAATTCGGAGGTAGGTGGTAAGAAACCCACCGGAGGCATTAACTTTTTGATCCGATTTTTTCATTATCATTAAGTTTGGTTAGGTTATAATAGTTTAATGTTATAATTTAAAAATTATATAATTGATTTTGAGACATTTATAATTTTATTTTATGAACAGAACTATTTTTCAAAATTCATGTTTTCGGCCCCTGGACTATATTGTTAAGACAGTAATAGGTTTTTTACATACCTCAGTCAAATAGTCCAAAAACTGTTTGTTTTCCAAATCCAAATAATGTATTCTGTGTTCGTGTCCGTGTTTTTAAATGTGTTTTTGACGAGTTACAAGCTTTGAAAATGTTGTCTTCGCAACGAAACATGTAAGCTGTTGAGCAATATCATTTTTGGACTATTTGACTGAGGTATGTAAAAAACCTATTATTGTCTTATTTTTTTTATTAGTAAACCTTCATTCGATATTTTCATCATCAGCAAGTTTGGTTAGGTTATGACAGTTAAATTCATTTAAATTGGACCTACAAACGATACGTTTCGACAGCGACTGTGATAGAGATAACTATTTCCCACGAACAGTTCGGCTATGCACGGTATGATGCGTGCACGGCGCGGTGGTGGGCGGTGGCGGTCTCCGGTCTGTCTGTAAGATTTGTTTGTTTAAATTCCAGTGTTGCCACCCTGGACCTGTGAAAATTCCCCATCTGACTAAGAAAAAATCCCCATTTTATCCCCAGCTAAAGCAAAAATCCTCCAATAATCCAACAAGTCATAAAAATCTATAGAAAGTCCCCAATTTTCCTCCATCCATCCTCCAAATTCTACAAAAATCACATTTAACTACAAAATATCCCGAATTCATACCTATCCATGCCATAGTGTGTGGGTAAAAATTCACTCTCCGTGAATATATTACACTACATACATTATTTATTCACTCCATATTAAATGTGCTGACGAGGAAAAACACCCATTTTATCCCCAGGACCCCAGCTGAAGCAAAAATCCTCCAATTATCCGCCAAGCCATAAAAATTTAAAGAAAATCCCCAACTCTCCTTCATCCAACCGTCAAACTCTACAAAAATTCCCTTTTAACTACCGGTCCGGCACCATGTTATCAATGATTATAATATACTATAGCAGAGTACCCGTCCTTCGTACGGGGTTGGCATATAAGTATGAAATGCTAATTGTAGTTATGGAAGAGGACACGGTTTAGTTTCTCTTTTGATTGCTCATCTACAGACCAATACCTTTAGACATCCCTGATAAGTTTTTACACCCAGCCGTTCTCTCAAATTAGCTGTGACAAAACCCCCCATTTTTCTTCCATAAGAATAACATGGGAAGAGAATTTTAAAGGCCACTGGGGCAGAGCCCTAAGGGAATTAACCTAGTTTCTCTTTTGATTGCTCATCTACAGACCAAGACCTTTCTTTAGACACCCCTACCGAGTTTCTACGCCCAGCCGTTCTCTCAAATTAGCGGTGACAAAGAAAAACAGTTTAAAAATTAATATTATTTATTCACAAACAATTAATTATACGTTTGCTGCATTTAGGCTTTATCTATATTCTGTGGTTCAACCAATGTAGTGATTCGAATAATTTATTGAGAATAACATCAACAAAGGAAAACAAAGGCTAACAACAAACTGTTTTTTACACAAAAGATATGGCGTACAGTGATCTATTCTGACACATAGATAATATATTTCTTGGTTTGTTTAAATATTAGAATATTTTTTTATATTATTGAGCTTTTTAGGGAATTATGGCCCTACAAGCCACTGGTTTGGGTTAAAATACGTACATAGTGGCGTCCCCATCTTAAATAATTGATTGATTGATTAGGCAATTCATTTTAGACATTGTTTTGCACTGATTTCTTTCTTTTATACTACTACATAAACTACATATTTAGTACTTTTATACTACTAGTTTTGTAGTAGGTTAAGTGCTAATAGACTATGTTTAGTATTATCGATTGTTTATACAAGAAGTATATAATCAATGGTACTACACTCAATGAGAGAGTGGAGGTACTGTCGTATCTCTTCGATCCTTTAACAAGAAAACAGCTGGTTAAATACACAACAACTGTGGAGTGGAGTGGTCAGCAGCTCAGCAGGAGCAGACAGATAATTTAATTTGGTGTTTGGTGCAATCATAGATAAAACAGGTTAGTCTATGGTGCAATAAAATAACCAATAAGAATAAATTAATTTGTTTGTGTTTCGACTGATTGTGTTTTTATTGAATTTTGTTGACTAGGGATTTTTTTTGACATTTATGTCATGTCTGTAATGAAGAATCGTCCGTCATAACCTTCTACTTCTACATGACTTTGCTTTTGTTATGTTCAAAGAGTTTTTGTCTTTAGAATAACAAATTTTTGGACTGGAAGACTAAAATCTACTAAGTCTAGTTATAGTGTCACAAAAGTGCGGTGAAATTCAAGTTATTTATTTTCTACTATTTTTACATTCAAATTTATTATTGTTCATAGTTTTGAAGCCTAACGCATTGGTCATGTCATTCAACAAAACATTCGTTTGGGCCCTATAACTAAAATCAAACCTTGTTCCCATAGTCCGATCATGCTGGTTTCCAAACTCATTAAGTTGATCCTGCCCTGCATTGTCAAGCCAAATTTTATCTAAATCGGACAAAAATTACTCAAGTTATCGCGTTCATGGAGTAGGCCTATATTTTGTATAGGCCCTAGGCCTACCTATAAGTTTAAGTTAAATATACTTATGCAAATGTTAAGTAAAGGCCTACCTACTTACAATGGTAAAAAAATATAATTTTTATATTAAGTAAAAAAAGTCTATTAACTTGTATTAAACTGGCTACTGTCCTGGATTCTTTACAAGGTCGTGTTAACAACCTGATGTAGTGGAATGAAAATGCTGACATCTTGCAGAGATTCAGCACTTAGGATCGTGCGTCAGGCCTCCAAGCGGTCCGCTGACAGTGATATTTGCTTGCAACAGAAAATCAAACAATACAACTAAGTAACTGAATTAATGTACTACCTACATATAAAACAATAAAATAATATTAAATATTTTACCCTACAGTTTTTTGCATGCTGAATCATCCTAAAATAAAATCAGATTTGTTGTAAAGACTCCAAAGTGGCTGCAAAACGAAGTTAAAAATTACAAATTTAAGATCCATTGAGCATTAGGCATGGTAGGCCTAATATGGTGCTTTGGACAAGTCCGTATGTCTTGTTGGACTGTGGATAGCTAACAGCGGGTAAAAAACGATTTCATGCACAATGGAATCGATTCATTTGCAATGAATCGTTGTGAACGATTCGTTTGGAGACTAGGCCTAATCAGTTCTTATTTTAGGCATGTGGAACCATTTTAGGCATTTTAGTTGTGTGTTGTTATGGGAGAAAGGTCAAGTTCATTATAAAAAAATTGTGTTAATGATTTGAGAATTATCGTACACAGTTGTTTTACTCATGTTTTTCTCAAATATTTGAGAAGGCAATTGAATACAGTTAACAAATTATATTGAAAATAATAATACCTATCACAATTTGAATTTAGAAAAGGACTTAAAACTTAATACCCGAAAATCAATAGCCAATGATGACAAATGGTTACCGGTAATGACATAGCGGGGTATGGATTGGGGCGACAAACTAAAGGGGCGTTGGATGGGTCGCAGATGGTACGATATTTTAATGGAAAAGATACCCTAAGTTAGTCAAAATTGGAGTTGTACAAAAAGAACAACTTTGGTTTTCTTCCTATTTAAGTTTAATTAATCAATATCAGAGAACTAAAATCATAAACAAATTGTCAACATGTAAATTCATCCTGGAATTAAGTGCAACGTGGAGAGCAACAGGGGTCAATGTTGGGTCCCTCTTTGTTTTTTATCTATGTCAATGATCTGCCAAACATAACAAAAATGAAACTTTTAATAGCCTATGCAGATGACACAATGCTTTTGTTTAAGAGGACCCACTATTAAATAAATAAATTAAAATGTCTTTATTAGCCACTGTTTCTCTGATATATATAAGTTTTTCAGAACTTTTTTCATCAAACTACTGTACCTACTTACAACTAAACATTAATGGGTGGCGTGTCCTGTAATCCAGCTACTAGGAGGTTACGAATTGTGGATATTATTAGGCATGCACTGTGGATGTGATACTCCCTGGTGTGGATTAACGTCCGCACAAGTGAGTACTACAACTGTCCGCAGTACTATCCTGCAAATTAGACCAATTTGTATATAGCCTATCAAGGCAAAAATGTGGTTCGGATTCCACTATAAAAACTTTAGGTCCCTTAGTTGCCATTAGCCATTGTATGGGCTATTAAACAGCTGTGTAAGCAATAAGTCGGCCTTAGTCACTAACAAGACTACAAGATCGCGCCACTCATCCTATACTCATCTCCATTCATACTTGGCTTAAAATACCTACTTTGTATTTCATTGAAAAGTATTAAAAAGTATTAAAAGTATTTCTCATCATTAATGACATACCGTACGGTAACTCATCTGGTTCTGGGGTAACTCTCCTCATACAAAAAAGATTTTTAAATTACAAAAAAAACACAAATTATTGGCAAAGTTCTTCCTACTAGAACCCCTCGTCAGAAACTGTTTCAAAATTTTAAAATTCTAACTTTTTATGATCACTATAAGGAATGGGTTTACAATACCAGATATAAGAATATTATCAGACCTGTAGCTCACAATTTACAAATGTTCCAGTTATCATACATATATACATACATTGGTTTAAAAATCTTAATTGCTCTGGAAAATCCTTCTAAGTTTAGACTTTCTTAAAAAAAAAAAAAAAAATGGTCAAGACTAAACCTTCTTTATTGGCAGATTATTTGGAGGACTGCTAGAATTAGTATGAATTCCTAGTTTAGGCTTTATCTATATTCTGTGGTTCAACCTATGTAGTGATTCTTCTTCTTCTTTTAAAAACTTACCACTGATGATTGTTGCGTATTATTGTTGATATCATATATATTACAAATGCATTACACTTTTTTTTTAATGTGTGAGATTCACTTATAGACCAATGCTAAAATTGTTCAGTCGGTTTGGTTGGCAACAAATTTACATATTTTAGATGTAATAATCAAACTTTGATTTTATAATTATGGACTCTTTGTGTACTAAGTGTTCTGTATTATTTTACAAATCCATTATGTGTTTCAGCTATGGCATTTGACTACACAGACTGGGCTCTATCCACTCCCTTGGTAAGAGCTGTTGTCAACAACAAGCCAGAAGATGTACGGGAAGCATTAAATTGCGGCTTTAGTGCCAATTTACCAGACCTCCGAGGATCGACACCTGTTCATGAAGCTGCTGCGGAAGATACCAGAAATGAATGTCTGAAAGAACTTCTGAGTCACAAATCTGCAGATGTCAACGCCCAAACGTTTCTCGAAGAAACTCCTTTGTATGTGGCATCCCAGAGAAATTGTGTAAAGAACGTGAAACTTTTACTAGAACAAAAAAAATGTAATGTTAATCTTAGCCAAGTTTTGGACATGACTCCACTTCATGTTGCATGCAGTGAAGGTAATGTACTCATTGTGAAACAATTGATTGAGTTTGGGGCTAAAGTCAATGTGACAGATCATGACGGTTATACACCATTACATGCAACTGTTGCTTCTCACATGCTGAATAGAAGGACAGATAATGTCAGTTATGATATTTGTAAGTATATTCTAGAGAATGGGGGCAAACCTGACGTAATAGAGTACAAAGGTAACTACCCCTTCCATTTTGCTTGTCAAAATGGTCTTTTCAAATGTGCTAAGTTGTTGTTGTCTGTTTCAAAACAAAATGATCTCATAAATTTGAAGTACTGCGATGAACGCACTCCACTGATGATCGCAGTAAAGTCTCTCAACGTGCCTGGTGTAGAGTTTCTCCTGGACCAAGGAGCTGATGTAAACATCGCAGACAGACATGGTGTTACAGCTCTCCATATTGCGGCTTGCACCGGTGACTTTAGGTTGTTCAGTTTGATTTTGAGGGAAACCAATAATGAGTGTATCCTCAAATACTGTACTTTTGACGAGGAGAGGGACTTTGAACGATTAGCATCTGGTAAATGGTTGAACAGTTTGATTTGTTTCGCTATCGACACAGAAAACCTGGAGTTTTTAAACCAAGTGTTGAAATCTGATTTGGACGCTGCAGTGCTAGTTTGTCCAGAGAGTCACACTGATGACCTTTTTACTTTGCACACTCCAATTACATTTTTGCTGGAGTGTAAAATGTGTGAGCTGGGAGATTCAACTTTGGATTTTCTTCACACTCTGATTGAACATGGTGTTCCTTTAAATGTCACCAGTAAGCACCCGCTGGTTAACTACATTAGTCCAATTTGCGCCGTACTAGTCGCCTCGAATTATTTTTCGGACATTATTTTGAAATGCTTGAAAGTTTTACTAGACAGAAATGTAGACCCAGACGAACCACATGGTAGGATGCCATTTGCCATGGAACAAGCAATCATGAGGCAAAACACAGAAGCGGTGTTGTTGCTTCTGCAATATTCCAATGTGTTGGAGCCAGAAGATATTATCCATTGGATTATAGACGAAACTTATAAAAGTCAAGAAAATATACTTGAGGCTCTTTTACCTTTGGCACCCTACTATAAACCATTAGAAGATCTTCGTCCTTATTTAACTTATAGTTTTAAAAGGAAAGAATTGCTTACTCAAAAAGTGCATCCCTTAACTCATTACTGCAGGACAGTTATCAGGAAGCAACTTCACAAAGAGACTGAATCCTGCCCAACATTGTTCAGGCGGCATTTATCTGGTTTAATGATTCCCAAAGACTTATACTCATTCCTTAGTTTCATTTAAACAGTTTTCTTTCATTTTGTACAAATTTTATATATTATATCGGCCTAAACAAAAATGTATAGGTAGTATTTTTACAACACAGCTGTAAATTTGCTTGCTGTTAGCTTTTTTAACTAATATTTTCTCCAGCAAATATACCCTTTAGTCCAGTCAAGGAATGAGGTGTAGAGTGTGTGAGCAGGTAACTAAATGATTCCTTCAGAGACTTGTTCAGGGGGCTTAGGGTGTTAACATACCAAAATTCCTGACTCGTAGGTGGTGAGCCAGGGGGTGGAGGGGGAAAGGGGAGGATTAAAGGTACGCATTTTGTGTTTTTCGATCATATCTCAAAAACTATCAACTTTTTTTATACTATACTAAACTACTATTAATACTGTTAATACTGTTCAATGAAATGGTGACCATACATAGTAGGTATTTTAAGCCAAGTATGAATGGAGATGAGTGTAGGATGTGGCGCGATCTTGTAGTCTTGTTAGTGACTAAGGCCGACATTCCTTAGACACAGCTGTTAATTAATAGCCCATACAGATAATGGCAACTAAGGGACCTACAGTTTATAGTGGAATCCGAACCACATTTTTCCTTGGTATATACGAATTGGTCTAATTATCAGGATAGTACAGCGGATAGTCGTAGTACTCACTCGTGCGGACGTTAATCCACACCAGGGAGTATCACATCCACAGTGCATGCCTATAAATATCGACGATTCGTGACCTCCTAATAGCTGGATTACAGGACGACGCCACCCGTCAGTCAATGCAGTTTCCTGGCTCGAGGAGACAAAGCTGTAGACTGCTTGGCCATTCATCAGACTAACCTCTACAGCACAACCATACCGGTAAACCTAGGCGTACCGTGGTTATAAATTTTAAAATATTTCAACTATAAAATTGAAGAAGATTAAATTTTCTACAAGAAAAGTACATAGGCCTAATGTGTTTATTTTGTTTAAACAATTTACGAGTTGTTACTAATTTAACTAATATCTTATTAAAATACTCCTTCCATAAGAAATACATGTAAATTAGTATGCGAAATGGGGCAAATCCTATCCGCCCAAAGGAAATATAACAAATATTCTAGAAATCTTGGTAAAATTTCCAGCAATTTGACACTTATAAAATTTTGTCAAAAATTAAAGCGAGGGTGAGCGTTTAAAAACAGGATGATTTGAGGGTTTTTTATAATTGTTAATAAAAAACACCAAAACGTCATTTTTGTTACCTCGCCCTTGCCTTAATTTTGGATCAATTTTTATGATTAAAGTGTCAAATTACTGGAAATTTTGTCAAGATTTCCAGAATATTGGTTATATTTCCTCTGGGCGGATAGGATTCGCCCCATTTCGCATACTAATTTACATGTATTTCTTATGGAAGGAGTATTTTAATAAGACATTAATTAAATAAGTAATCTGTTCAACCAAAATACACACATTATATACTTTTCTTGTAGAAAATGTAATCTTCTTAAATTTTATAATTTAGTATAGTATACAAAAAGTTGATAGTTTTCGAGATATAATAAAAAAAACAAAAAATTGTTCCCTTACCCCCCCCCCTTTCCCCCCTCCGTCCCCTGGCTCACCACCTAGGAGTCAGGACTTTTGGTATGTTAACACCCTAAGCCCCCTGAACAAGTCTCTGAAGGAATCATTTAGTTACCTGCTCACACACTCTACACCCACTTTTGGATCATTCATTGACTGGACTACTTGTACACAACCCTTAGGATTCCAGTTAGCTCCTTATGACAGTTTCAACATAATTCACTATTGAAAACCACTAGAATGAAGTAAAAAGCCATATGTTAACTTAACTAACCGAGAAGTCTTAATTTTAATTACGTTACCAGCCATAATCCTTATAAAATGTTCGAAAGTCATTGTTAAATTATAACTTTTTAAGGTCTAGGCTGAGAAATTTCTATAACCCATTTACCATTAATAAACATTGTCAACTTTAATAAAGTTAATACGATTGACTGAACAAATACCCATAAAGCAAAAAGATAATGGAACAGTGTAAGTTAATGTACTTTTTAAAAGTGATTTAAAAGTGATTGCTAAAAACCAATATTTGTAATTTATAATATTACTAGCTGTACCCGCGGGCTTTGCCCCGTTTAACTTCTTAATTTTCAAGATGAGCTCGTTCGCATGGCTCAATCACGTCCTGGTTGAAGTTCGTTCGCTACGCTCACTCACTTTTAGGTTGGAGCTTGTTCGCTGCGCTCACTTGCCTTCAGGTTAGCTCGTTCGCTACGCTAACTCGCCTCCAGGTTGCAAATTAGGTTTTGCAAATTTTGGTTACAAATTAGCTGTTGTCATAAATAAAAAAAAAATATTAGTGCTGCACCCTGTTGGTAATCTTTGTAACTTTAATGCTATTGCACATCATAGAACAGAACCAACTTGTTTAATTAAAACAGCTGATAAGATTAATTAATTCCATTTAAATATGAGTACTCATAAGGTTAACATGGGAAACTCCAGAGCCACTGGGGCGGAGCCCGAGAGTCCGATCAGAATAAAAATAGTTTTCCTATTTAATGCCTAAAGAATCAGTTTACCAAATTTCAGCCTCCTAGGTAAATGGGAAGTGGGAGAATTAGTGATGAGTGAGTGAGTGAGTCAGTCAGTCAGTCAGTCAGTTAGTCAGTGAGGGCTTTGCCTTTTATATATATAGATAGATTATGTTGCACATTGCAACGTGCTTGCAATAATTATACAGGTAGTAATAACAATGTTTTATATTTGAAATATGAATATAATTAATAATAAATAAAATTAAAAGTATTTTCTCCCACTGGTAGCTATGGACCACCAGTTCTGGTTAAGATAATGATAATTCCCTGTAGTGGGAGGGAAACGCCACCGTGCGTCGTCCTTACTCGATATAATGGGGGTGAAAAGCGCCGATTTACCCATCCGGTTGTGGCGCGGGGATTTCTGAAGCGTCCGTCCGGGTGAACCACCATTTTGAGGGTGTCCGCGTCAAACACGTCCGGGCTAAACACGGAGCCGTTTCTACGCCCAGCCGTTCCCTCAAATTAGCTGTGACAAAGAAAAACAGTTTCAAATTAATATTATTTATTCACAAACAATTAATTATACGTTTGCTGCCTTTAGGCTTTATCTACAGGGTTGGGCAAATGTATGGATACCCCTTGTTAACTTTTTAATGGGTGACACCAGGAAAACTAAACCCCACATGCCTTCATAAAAAATAAAACTGCACTTTTTAAACGGTATCCCAATTTTTCCTTGGACCCCAAAATGGGGTATTTTTTGGGTTGCTTCAAAGTTTTAAATGTAAAGCCCCATCGAGTGACATCTCATTTTAAAGGCCTTTATTAAAGCAGAATATCAGCGAAAATTAGAGGTCTCTATCTCAACCCGGTACGACATGGCAGTCATTTTAAATTTTCATCAGCCTGAGAGAACCCACTTAAATGTAGGCATCAATATCCCATATTAACTTTTTAGCGGGTTATACCAAGAAAACTAAACTCCGCATACCTTCATAAGAAACAAAAATGCACTTTTTGGTCGGTATCACAGTTTTGCCCGGGACCCGGAAATGGGGTATTTTGGGGGCAGCTCAACAATTTTAAATATAAAGCCCCATCAAGTGACACCTCATTTTAAAGGCCTTTATTAAAGAAGAATATCAGCGATAACTAGAGGTCTCTATCTCATCCCAGTACGACTTGGCGGTCATTTTAAATTTCCATAAGCCTGAGAGAAACTTTTAATGAGGGTAAATTGTACGATGAATTTCAAATGACCGCCATGTCGTACTGGGTTGAGATAGAGACCTCTAGTTTTCGCTGATATTCTTCTTCAATAAAGGCCTTTAACATGAGGTGTCACTCGATGAGGTTTACATTTAAAATTTTGAAGCTACCCCCAAAATACACCATTTTGGGGTCCCAGGAAAAATTGGGATACCGTCCAAAAAGTGCAGTTTTATTTTTTATGAAGGTATGTGGAGTTTAGTTTTCCTGGTGTCACCCATTAAAAAGTTAACTAGGGGTATCCACACATTTGCCCAACCCTGTATATTCTGTGGTTCAACCAATGTAGTGATTCGAATAATTTATTGAGAATAACATCAACAAAGGAAAACAAAGGCTAACAACAAACTGTTTTTACACAAAAGATATGGCGTACAGTGATCTATTCTGACACACATATAATATAGGTATTTCTTGGTTTGTTTTAAATATTAGAATAATTTTTTTTATATTATTGAGCTTTTTAGGGACTTATGGCCCTACAAGCCACTAGTTTGGGTTAAAATACGTACAAAGTCTCGAAATTCACGACCATGACGTGTCCCTAGGGTACATTTTCCAACTTTCACGCTGTTTTTAGACTAATTATTCATGCCGAAATATATAAAGCCATATTTGTATGTCATCAATAGTTATTAAACTTACAAAAAATTTTTGACTATTATCATCACTGGTTTTGAATTGTCTATTTATGTGCACTTTTTGTATTTTTTTTTTGTTCTTCACTTTATGTATTAATATTGTATTATTTTTCATTACAGCTGTTTTGGGTTTATACCTGTAGCTATTGTAAATTGTGTATAAATAAATAAATAAATAAAAAAGGAGCATATTATAATTTTATTGTCATTGCAAACTGACTACCATGACAAAATAAGTCTGTCCCTCGATTTGGCGTCACGACCATTTGGGAAAAATTTGCAACTTTGGAGCACGACAGTGGCAAGGTTGGCGTCGATTGCGTCAGTTAGTTTTAGAGACTAGTTCGGAGTGTACGTCAAGTTTGTTGTGCCGGTCGTTTTGTGTTGAAAGAAGTAGTTACAAGATAAATAAAGGTAAGTTTGTGTTTTTTGTAATTTTGGTGTGTCCATGACCGTACGTAGTCATTTGATGAAGTAGACGTGGTTTTAATTTTTGTTGATATGATATTTCAATTGCTACATTAACCTAGAAGTCCACTTTGTATCCTCGAACATGAGGTGCAGGGCTACCGCCAGAACAGAGCCAAATAACACGTAATATCACGACCAAAGTTTCACGACCATCGCAGGTTTTTTCATCCAGCCTTATGGATTATACTGTGTTTGGTCGTGACAATAACTATCATTGTAAATTATCATTGTAAGTATCATTGTAAATTGAACAGTTTAGTTCAATTGAAACACATGTTTTTATTATAACTAACAGTATAATTGAAGGATTGTTTAGAAAGATTTAGATTATTCTAGACAATTCACGACCGTACCGCTTGTCCCTGACCATCACGTTAACAATTTCTATCATAAAAATGTAAAAAAAATTAAATATCAACATATTTCAATGATTTATACACAAAAGAAGCACACCTCTATAAAAACATAACGATTTTTCAGGTATGAGGTAAGTGTTTTCGGAGTTATACAAACTTAAAAGATTTTATTGGCATTTATCTACTTTTTTAGTTTTTTAAATTTTTCTAGAAAGACCAAAATATACCAAAAGCTTAGTGAGCTGTTTATTGTATAATGGCCATGAAAGTAAATTCATTTATAGCAAAACATAGTTATAAAAATAATATTAACTATTTTTAATATTCAGTTTTATGTCCGTGATGGTCGTGACAAAATTTCGTGTTTTTCCATCAAAGATGCTCGATTTATAAAAAATCACCAAAGATATTGCGTTACCATGGACATTTTATGAAACTTTCAATGTCAATGAAATAAAAAAAAATAAAAAAAAGTTTCAAAAAACGGAACAAAAAATTTTAAAAGTGCTCTTCCTGAAAACGTATGTTTTTAAATTTTCACTCTATTACATAAACTACATATTTGGTACTTTTATATTACTAGTTTTGTAGTAGGTTAAGTATAATAGACTATGTTTAGTATTATCGATTGTTTATACAAGAAGTATATAATCAATGGTCCTACACTCAATGAGAGAGTCAGTGTACTGTCGTATCTCTTCGATCCTTTAACAAGAAAACAGCTGGTTAAATACACAACTGTGGAGTGGAGTGGTCAGCAGGAGCAGACAGATAATTTTGGTGCAATACAATAACCATTAACCATAACCAATAAGAATAAATTAATTTGTTTCTGTTCCGACTGATAGTGTTTTAGTATTGAATTTTGATGACTAGGGAATTTTTTGAGACATTTATGTCATGTCTGTAATGAAGAATCGTCCGTCACAACCTTCTACTTCTACATGACTTTGCTTTTGTTATGTACAAAGATTTTTTGTCTTTAGAATAACAAATTTTTGGACTGGAAGACTAAAATCTACTGTCTAGTGATTGATTTGATAGTGTCACAAAAGTGCGGTGAAATTCAAGTTACTTTCTACTATTTTTACATTCAAATTTATTATTGTTCATAGTTTTGAAGCCTAACGCAAGATATTTTAATCAGAGATATTTTTTTTGTGATATGTTAATCATAATTTTGTTTTTATTTCAATAATATAGGCTTATTCTTCAAGATATTAAATGGTTGTTGACTTTTGAAAATCAAACTTAGCCTAACTTTCCAATGTAAGTACGGTACGGTATATTAGGGTTAAGTGGGGTAACTTAAGTACCTACCTATAACCACGGCTTAGGCCTATCACTCAACAGAAGATAGCCTACATGTTTACCTAAATTCTATAATTTCTTGTTCTTTGGACCTGGTTTTGTAATATTTAGCTATAAGAAGCCTATGGTTAGACCAAAATATTCTTTCCTTATACATATCAAAAACAAAATTTATGCCTATTTCTATTAGTAGTAAAAACACAGATTATAATTTACAAAACCTAACAATTCATTCTTGTAGTGATTTCCTTAACTTGTCTTGTAATTGCGAAGCTATTGAAGAGGTAGCTTCATATAAATACTTGGGTGTAATTTTTGACCGTCGGCTGAAGTGGGCTGAACATATTCAAAGTGTAAGGAGTAAGGTCAGGAAATACATGTTTGCCTTTCGACAAATGAATGGAGTTCTAACCTTAAAAGAAATTAAAATTGCCTACTTTTCTTACGTCCAATCTTTGCTTTCATTTGGGATTATAGCCTGGGGAGGGATGTTTTAAAAGTTTGCCCAAACCTCTAAATATTGCTCATAGGTCACTTTTAAAAGATTGGTTTTGGTAAATCTAAACGATTTCCGTCTGACGCCCTATTTAAGGAAACATCAATTCTTACAGTTCGCAAACTAACTTATATATCAAATGTTTACTTATTAACATTTTCAAGAATTGCACTAGAATATTTAATGAAACCTTACATTCTCATAACACCAGATACTCATCTCAAGTCCACATTACTACACTTCAGGTATACAACACTTTTTCAATAACAAATTCTTTTTATATATCTCACATAGTTTTTCAAAATTTTTGTAAATACTATTCTGAATTAAATTTATTTGACGCCACATCTATTGTCTCTTTTAAACGTCTTGTTAAAGAATGGCTAGCCTACTTAATTTAAATACGGACGAGGCTGATTTTATTATTACTTCATCTTACCGGCGCGACGGAATCGGCCCGCGACCCTGGACTTGACCATTGACTTGACTTTGACCTCGACATTGACAGCACACCCTAGCCGCTCTCTCTCCGACGCTTCTATTGTTGGATGATAATTGCATGTTCTTTTTGTTGTAGAGTACTGTTCACTTATTACATTACTATTTCTTAACTGCTGAAAGTCATTTAAATATACTTTTCACTCATACAAAATAATAAAACTAAATTGCACCACTTAACTTCATTCAATCTTTATAGCAACTTAGCAGACGCACAGGCACAGCCTATGTCTGCTAATTCCAGGACTAATTAGATAGGAACAACCTTTGACACATGTATCCTAGTTAATTAGTTTAGTTTTACATAAAACCCTTTTTTTTCTTTTGTACATTTGGTTGTGTAATTTTATATATGTGGTGGAATAAATTCATAATTCATTCATTCATTCATTCATTCATTCATTCTATTAAAATGTGGAAACGATAAGTTCTAGACTGGCAAAAAAATGCTTATACATATTCAACTGGGGTAACTTAAGTACCTACCTATAACCACGGCTTATCACTCAACAGAAGATAGCCTACATGTTTACCTAAATTCTATAATTTCTTGTTCTTTGGACCTGGTTTTGTAATATTTAGCTATAAGAAGCCTATGGTTAGACCAAAATATTCTTTCCTTATACATATCAAAAACAAAATTTATGCCTATTTCTATTGGTAGTAAAAACACAGATTATAATTTACAAAACCTAACAATTCATTCTTGTAGTGATTTCCTTAACTTGTCTTGTAATTGCGAAGCTATTGAAGAGGTAGCTTCATATAAATACTTGGGTGTAATTTTTGACCGTCGGCTGAAGTGGGCTGAACATATTCAAAGTGTAAGGAGTAAGGTCAGGAAATACATGTTTGCCTTTCGACAAATGAATGGAGTTCTAACCTTAAAAGAAATTAAAATTGCCTACTTTTCTTACGTCCAATCTTTGCTTTCATTTGGGATTATAGCCTGGGGGGGGATGTTTTAAAAGTTTGCCCGAACCTCTAAATATTGCTCATAGGTCACTTTTAAAAGATTGGTTTTGGTAAATCTAAACGATTTCCGTCTGACGCCCTATTTAAGGAAACATCAATTCTTACAGTTCGCAAACTAACTTATATATCAAATGTTTACTTATTAACATTTTCAAGAATTGCACTAGAATATTTAATGAAACCTTACATTCTCATAACACCAGATACTCATCTCAAGTCCACATTACTACAGGTATACAACACTTTTTCAATAACAAATTCTTTTTATATATCTCACATAGTTTTTCAAAATTTTTGTAAATACTATTCTGTATTAAATTTATTTGACGCCACATCTATTGTCTCTTTTAAACGTCTTGTTAAAGAATGGCTACTTAATTTAAATACGGACGAGGCTGATTTTATTATTACTTCATCTTAGACTGGCAAAAAAATGCTTATACATATTTCAACTGTTTACGCCAAAGCCAATGTCAAACCTTATCAATTTTAAATCTCTTTATTTGTTAAATAAATCTGAAATTTCAACATATTTTTGAATGTTGATTCAGAATATAACGTCAAATCGAGAATTCTTATGCTCTAAGTTCAAAGATACCCGTGAACTTCCCACTCACTTCACTTGCCCATGAACTTTTGAAGGTGGGGCAGGTAAAACTTTTCTTGTGTGGCAAATGTAGCCAAGAGGGTCATTCTTGCCTCGCATAGGCCAAGTAGTTTATTTATTTAATTCTCATTTTTCTGTTACTTTTGTCTATTTAGTTTGGGTCCTATGACTAAAATCAAACCTCAATCCCATAGTCCGAACATGCTGGTTTCCAAACTCATTAGTTGATCCTGCCCTGCATTTTCAAGCCAAATTTTATCTAAATCGGACAAAAATTAGCCTACTCAAGTTATCGCGTTCATTGAGTGGCCTATATTTTGTATAGGCCCTAGGCCTACCTATAAGTTTAAGTTAAATATACTTATGCAAATGTTAAGTAGAGGCCTACCTACTTACAATGGTAAAAAAATATAATTTTTACCTATATTAAAAAAAGTCTATTAACTTGAAATTAAACTGGCTACTGTCCTGGATTCTTCACAAGGTCGTGTTAACAACCTGATGTAGTGGAATGAAAATGCTGACACCTTGCAGAGATTCAGCACTTAGGATCGTGTGTCATGCCTCCAAGCGGTCCGCTGACAGTGATATTTGCTTGCAACAGAAAACCAAACAATACAACTGAATTAGTGTACTACCTACATATAAAACAATAAAACTAGGTGGCGTTCGCAGATGCATCCACAAAATTGAGCGGAGTCATCAAGGGTTCATATTATATTGTTTTTGTCATACTGCAGTAAAAACAGTCGTCATTGATGCATGCGTTGCGGGTCTAAAGTAGCTTTTTTACTCTTTAGGGAATAAAATTCGTATTTAGCCTCTAAGGAGTAAAACTCAGCTGTTGTCAACTCAGTTGTAAATTTCTATTGTAAACGATTGAATACGTATCGAAATATGTAACGATTCGTGCTTCATAATCATTTTAACCTACAGTCTACAGTCTCTTCCCATAGCATTTTAGCATTGCAGATACATTAATCCATTCCCACACTCAACACTGCCCACCTTTACTACTTCCTTCACCACCCCCTACAGGCGGGGACACACTTGTCATACACCCTTACAATCCGACTCCGATCATACTGTGGTATGACTGTCGGAGAGGGGAATGGTACTTAACTTTGAACGCGGGTGTTTACACCTCTCCGACACGCGTCACGTCATACTCCGATCCTTGTTGTTTCTTTAAAATCACATTTATTCTTAAGGTTTTTAAGAATAATGGTTTAAGATCTGTATATGACGATGCTTGATGTGAAATCTGTGCGTGCATACCTTCCATTTGAGACCTCAATCATGAAAATCGGACGGGTAGAAGAGCCAAACGAACTCGAGAGAGAAAAACCAAAGTGTTTAATTTATAAAATGGGCCCTTCCACCTAACTTTCCAGCCATGCAGAATGGACCCAAATTCTCCGTTTTCTACTGCCCTCCAGAGATGTCTGACTTAAGTTTTTGAACATGTTTATTACCTTCTGCACGTAGTTTACAAATCAGACTGTTGATCGACCCAGAGGAGGAAATCGGAGATGGGTCGTAAGCGTATATGACATGTGTGCTCACCCCCTCCGATCCCGCACCGATCCTTATGGAATCCCGAAAATCGGATCGTAGTAGGATTGGAAGGGTGTATGACGAGTGTGTCCCCGCCTTACGTCGTGGACCTGTTTCCCTCTCTTCCCATAGCATTTTAGGATTGCAGATACATTAATGTAATTGCCAAAGACAGTTCCCACACTCTGCACTGCAAGCCTTACTACTTCCTTCACCATTTCCTACGTCATAGACCTGTTTCCTTCCCTTCTCATAGCATCATTTAAGTATTAGATACATTTATCTAACTGCCGAAACGGTTCCCTCACTCTGCACTGCCAGCCTTTACTACTTCCTTCACCACTTCCTACGTCGTGGGGCCTGTTTCCTTCCCTTCTCATAGCATTTTAGGATTGAAGATACATTAATCTAACTGCCACAGACGGTTCTCACAATATGTTCATACTTAACTACTTCCTAAGCCACTTCCTACATCGTGGACCTGTTTTCATCACTTTCCATAGCATTTTAGTATTTTAGATACGTTAATCTAATTGCCACAAACATTGCCCACACTCCGCACTGCTAGCCTTTACTACTTCTTTCACCATTTTCTATGTCGTGGGCATGCTTCCATCCCTTCTGATAGCATTTCAGCATTGCAGATACATTAATCTAACTGCTACAAACGGTTTCCAGTTCCCAAACTCCACACTGCTCACCTTACTACTTTCTTTACCTCTTCTTACGTCGCAGACCTGTTTCACTCTCTTCCCATAGAATTTTAAGATTGTAGATACCAAGATACCTTAATCTAATCGTCATAAACAGTTCCCACACTCCGAAAAACTCGCCTTTACTACTTCATTCATCTCTTCCTACGTCACGGACCTGTTTACCTCCCTTCCCTTAGCATTATTGGATTGCAAATAACTTAATCTATTGCTCTTAAACAGATCCCACTCTCCAGACTGCTCACCTTTACGACTTCCTTCACCACTTTCTACGTCACGGACCTCAAGCTAGTGTCGTCATTTGGTTATATTTATGATCCATACCACCGTTTATGTTCTAATATCTGTGGAATAATGCTATCAGCTATTTATTTATCTACTGCATTCAAAAGTCAACAGCTGATCATACGTCTTTGTTTGTGTGTCAAATACTGCTTCCATAAGGATTACATTGAAACTTTGAGACCCAGTGGGGCGGATTCCTGAGAAACTTTTTTAACGCCATATAGATGTTGGCACTCACCAATATGGTCTTTATCACCATGCAAAATTTGAAAACAGCCGTTTAGGAGGAGTTTGCGTATTACGAAATGCATAAAAGTCGACGTATAAGAGCTTCGCTCAATAATATTAAATATTTTACCCTACCTACAGTTTTTGCATGCTGAATCCTAAAATAAAATCAGATTTGTTGTAAAGACTCCAAAGTGGCTGCAAAACGAAGTTAAAAATTACGAATTTAAAATCCATTGAGCATTAGGCATGGTAGGCCTAATATGGTGCTTTGGACAAGTCCGTATGTCTTGTTGGACTGTGGATAGCTAACAGCGGGTAAAAAACGGATTTCATGCACAATGGAATCGATTCATTTGCAATGAATCGTTGTGAACGATTCGTTTGGAGGCTAGGCCTAATCAGTTCTTATTTTAGGTATGTGGAACCATTTTAGGTGTGTGTTGTTATGGAAGAAAGGTCGAGTTCATTATAAAAAAATTGTGTTAATGATTTAAGAATTATCGTACACAGTTGTTTTACTCATGTTTTTCTCAAATATTTGAGAAGGCAATTGAATACAGTTAACAAATTATATTGAAAATAATAATACATATCACAATTTGAATTTAGAAAAGGACTTAAAACTTAATACCCGAAAATCAATAGCCAATGATGACAAATGGTTGGCGGTAATGACATAGCGGGGTATGGATTGGGGCGACAAACCAAAGGGGCGTTGGATGGGTCGCAGATGGTACGATATTTTAATGGAAAAGATACCCTAAGTTAGTCAAAATTGGAGTTGTACAAAAAGAACAACTTTGGTTTTCTTCCTATTTAAGTTTAATTAATCAATATCAGAGAACTAAAATCATAAACAAATTGTCAACATTTAAATTCATCCTGGAATTAAGTGCAACGTGGAGAGCAACAGGGGTCAATGGTGGGTCCCTCTTTGTTTTTTATGTCAATGATCTGCCAAACATAACAAAAATGAAACTTTTAATAGCCTATGCAGATGACACAATGCTTTTGTTTAAGAGGACCCACTATTAAATAAATAAATTAAAATGTCTTTATTAGCCACTGTTTCTCTGATATATATAAGTTTTTCAGAACTTTTTTCATCAAACTACTGTACCTACTTACAACTAAACATTAATGGGTGGCGTCGTCCTGTAATCCAGCTACTAGGAGGTTACGAATTGTGGATATTATTAGGCATGCACTGTGGATGTGATACTCCCTGGTGTGGATTAACGTCCGCACAAGTGAGTACTACAACTGTCCGCAGTACTATCCTGCAAATTAGACCAATTCGTATATATAGCCTATCAAGGCAAAAATGTGGTTCGGATTCCACTATAAAAACTTTAGGTCCCTTAGTTGCCATTAGCCATTGTATGGGCTATTAAACAGCTGTGTAAGCAATAAGTCGGCCTTAGTCACTAACAAGACTACAAGATCGCGCCACTCATCCAACACTCATCTCCATTCATACTTGGCTTAAAATACCTACTTTGTATGGTCGCCATTTCATTGAAAAGTATTAAAAAGTATTAAAAGTATTTCTCATCATTAACATACCGTACGGTAACTCATCTGGTTCTGGGGTAACTCTCCTCATACAAAAAAGATTTTTAAATTACAAAAAAAACACAAATTATTGGCAAAGTTCTTCCTACTAGAACCCCTCGTCAGAAACTGTTTCAAAATTTTAAAATTCTAACTTTTTATGATCACTATAAGGAATAGCATGTTGGGTTCATAAAAACCTGTCTACTTTTAGGGAGACCCAAACTAAACATAATTAGGCCTACAATACCAGAAATAAAAATATTATCAGACCTGTAGCTCACAATTTACAAATATTCCAGCCTAATATATGCCTAATACATGCCTAATATCTATTATATTATTAAAGTGATACAATCAAATTTTATGTAAACGGTTAAGGCCATTTACCAAATAAAAATATAGGCATATGGCATATTAAAATGAAGCTTAGAGTGTATAGATTTGCCGAAAAGTATTGATATGGACAAACTCCTTGAGGGCTCTGCCCCACAGGCTGATTTCCAAAGGGCTACGCCTTGCATGTTTTGGAAGTTAACGTTATTTGATTAATTTAGTAAACAACAGCTGGTCAATGCAATTGACAATATAGTTTGTTTGTTTACATTTTTGTTTACTTATTTTATTATTTACTTTCATGTTCTTAAAAGAGGTGCGGTGAATGGATAGAGAAGCTTTTTCTAGCTGTTTGATAAAAGTGAGTGATTAAAAGTGTTCTAAACACAATGAATATGAGATTAACAAACCATGTATGTTGTTCGTTCCAAGAGGTTGTCACCGATCATTAACAGTCACCATTTCATTGAAAAGTATTGTATTAAAGTATTAAAGACGTCGTGAAAGAGAGCGGCGAGTTCAGGTACAACCGTACCCACCTCGGCCACCTTAGGACGTAAGGTATGAAGGTTCCACTGCTTTTAACATCCTTTCAGATGACAATTTCTCGAACTTGGGCCCTTTAAATAACATATCAAATCGAAGTTGATTAAATTAATTTAATGGTGGCTTCTGTACACCCGTGAATTCGCAGGTAGAACCTCTTGTATATACATACATTGGTTCAAAAATCTTAATTGATCTGGAAAATCCTTTATAAGTTTAGACTTTCTTAAAAAAAAAAAAAAAAAAAAAACGGTCAAGACTAGACCTTCTTTTATTGGCAGATTTTTTGGAGACTGCTTGGAAGACTGCTAGAATTAGTATGAATTCCTAGTTTAGGCTTTATCTATATTCTGTGGTTCAACCTATGTAGTGATTCGAATAATTTATTGAGAATAACATCAACAAAGGAAAAGAAAGGCTAACAACAAACTGTTTTTTACACAAAAGATTTGGCGTACAGTGATCTATTCTGACACATAGATAATATATTTCTTGGTTTGTTTAAATATTAGAATAATTTGTTTTATATTATTGAGCTTTTTAGGGACTTATGGCCCTACAAGCCACTAGTTTGGGTTTAAAATACGTACATAGTGGCGTCCCCATCTTAAATAATTGATTGATTGATTAGGCGATTCATTTTAGACATTGTTTTGCACTGATTTCTTTCTTTTATACTACTACATAAACTACATATTGAATGAATGAATGAATGAATAAATTCCTAGGTGAGACTGAGATCCTAGTATGAAAACCTACCCGCTCCTTGTAGCTCAACTTTTGTCATGCAAAATATTACATTTAGGGAAGATTCAGTAGTTTTTGTCTAAAAATATGTGTATTAGTTTTATTGTTAAATCAAGTCTTTGATTTAACAACTAGGCCTATGCCCTGTTATTATGATGTACGTGTACTGACAAGTAATTCAATAAATAGATAAATAAATAGGCCTAAAATTTAATTTTCCAACCTAACTACAAAGGACTTAATACGGTACTGTCACAAACCCGCGTGAAGTCTGACCTATCTTCCTCACATGTCTTTTCTGACATCCAATGGGATTTTTTAAATAAGTTGGGTTAGTAAATGCAGCACATACATGAAAATATTAAAACCCCATAATACCCTGTTCCGATGACACAATCTTGCTGGCTGCGTACTCATTCAAGTTTATCCCGCCAACACCTTCAAGTCAAATTTTATCAAAATGGAACTAAAATTAATCCACTCAAGTTATCACCTTCACAGTCACATAGGCTATCTATATAAATACACATATACACAAATTTGAACGAATGAATAGTGTTTTTAGCTTCTGGGGAAATGAAAAGAAAATGAAAACCAAAGTAAGTCGTTCCTGGGCCCAGGTTTTACCTTGCTACCCACCTACGTTAATAGCTATAGTACTTCCCTAGAGGCCCATAGGGATATTTGTCAAAATTTGAACAAATAGTGTTTTTGCCTCGAGGGATATCAAAATTAAAAATTATATCGGTCCCGTATCTATATATTATGCTCGTGAAAGGTAGTAGGCCTATGTAACTTTTAATGTAAGGTAGGCAAGGCCTAAATTCCTGATTCAAAGATGAGCATAATAATTCCGAACGGTGATTAATATTATCATATAATATAATATGAACCATATTATATATTATGTAATATGTATTACAATTTATGTTATGTTTCAGATGTTGTACTGTCCGCCGAACATAACCATCACCACCTTATGGGTGGATAATGGCATATCAGAATGTTTTATGGCGACTCAGACTGCTGTTCTAACTGGCATATTCATCATATTTTTTGGATCAATACAACTATGGATGTATCGTAAATATGGCACTCCAGTGTCAATGGATTTGCTTCCATCTTCGCCTCTCTACTACTTCCAGATTTTCATTACTTTTGTGTTATGTGCTCTTGCTTTACTGAGGTTTATTCTTCAAGTGATATTGTTCAAACCTGGAGTCATTTATGGATACATGGTAATAATGTTTGTTTCACAATGCAAAATATTATTTTACTTTAAGCTAATAATAGCTCTTCTTTTGCTATGGTTGGATTGGATTTAGGATATTTTTTTATAACGACATACCAAGGTGTGTATTTTAAGACTAAGATGGGTGAAGGAGTAATGAAAAATGAATGGGATCATAGCTGTATTACTGACTAAGACCATAGATAAAACATACTCCCTTAGTAGATTTCTCATCCTTATGGATCAGCTAAAGACAATTTTATTGTTGGTTCTGTAATATGGTGTACTATAGAGGTAGATTTTTGTTTACAATTCGTTTATTGTTATTTCAGTCATTTAAAACAACTTTTAGCCAAATAATACAAACTAATCATAAACAATAACTCACCCCCTAGTAATATAACCAAACAGTAAAGCACAAATCAAGAAATTAACACTAAAATAATTTAAATAAAATTTCATCGACACTAGCGCCCAGTGTCACCGCACATGAACTAGACACGAAAAACAAGCTTCAAAATTTACAATGGGATGAGAAGTCTACGTGTGTTGCTTAGTCTATGCTAAGACCATCAGCTGGTTCCATAGACATAACCATTCATTATATGCTCAGTCATTGATGAAACTAACGGTCTGCTGCACTAACAATATTGATACAAAGACCAAGCATAGTTAAGTTATAAATTTGACTCCCAGGGTGCAGAATATGTCAAAGAATAAGGATAATGTAGTTATGAAAGATGCTAATTTTTATTTGTACTGGTTGCAGATTGTATGGACGTCAGTCAGCATGATATCATTCATATTCTCCGCTGTACTGGTGTGGGTTGAACGACATTTCCAGCTGCCAACTGTTCCAGCAAGAGGTCACGGTCTTGTTTTACTTCTATTTTGGACGTTTCTGTTTTCCATGGAAAACCTTACATTTGTAAATCTAGGGCGTCACGACTGGTGGTTTCATCCATCCTCGTAAGTTAGTAGTTTGATAGTAGTCTAATTTTTACCATTGTAGTTAGATGGGTCATTGTACTAAAATTAGTCTAAGCATACATACAAAAGATCCTTGTACAAGAATCAGCCATGCATAATCTCTTTCTCGCATGCAACAAACACTTAGGTAGCACATTCCGAACCATATCTGTTAATGCTCCTGCTGAACTCTTGACTTAATGACTTAATCGGAACTTCAATTGGTTCATAGTTCATAGTTTAAAATTGTACATATATGAATTTGTTTATAATTATTTCAGCTGTTTGATAAAACAAGTCTTGCGTTTCTATTTTTATAGTTATGTTAAAACTATTAGCCTACCCAATCAATGTAATTTACCTTATATTAATTAGGCTAGATAAATTTTGTGATGTTATTAGACCTAAATATGAGAATTTTATCTAAACAACAAAATAAAGTTTGACATGGTCATTGATTTAAATGTGTGTACAAAAAAGAGTAAAAACATTACTAGGATAAATTGACAATAATGGATTTAATGTGCTTTAACATGTTTCAATAGTAAATATCAATGACTCAACTTTTCAAAGGCTTCTTTAAAACTTGATGCCAATCACTTTTGAACTTATCACTTATCATACACAAATATTTATATGAACAGAGGGTATCTCACACATGACAGTCTTATCTGCAAGACCCTGTAAGGTTTCTGTTTATTCTCTTTATATTTTTTTAATTTGTCTTCTTTTCTTGGCTGTTCCAAGCAGATATATGAGCCAAGTAGCGTTAAATCTTGTACAATACTCTTAGTAATCTACGCTGTTTAGTGGATAGAGTACTTGGCAGACGTGCTAGAGGTATCCAGATCGAAGAATCCCATTGGTGACACTTAACTTTTTGTCAAAGATTTTGCTTAGAATGCCATTTCTTCTTAACTGTTCATCTTTTGTTAGAATTTGAGGCATTCATTGTACTTAATGAACGGAATTTAACCTTCATTTGATTTTTCCATTATCAGCAAGTTTGGTTGGTTAGACCATAGACTAACCAATACAAGTAGACTTCCCATCCCATTGTAAATTTTGAAGCACGTTTTTCGTGTCTAGTTCATGTACGTGACACAAAGGCGCTAGTGTCGATGAAACTTTGTTTCCGTTATTTTAGGGTTAATTTCTTGATTTGTGCTTTACTGTTTGGTTATATAACTATGGGACAAGTTATTGTTTATGATTAGATCGTATTATTTGGTTAAACGAGGTTTTAAATGGCTGTAATAACGGGAAACAAATTGTAAACAAAACACGACCTCTACATAAACCGTACATGAACTAACAATAAAATTGTCTTCAGCTGTTCCATAAGGATGAGAAATCTACTAAGGGAGTATGTTTTATCTATGGTTAGACTAAGTTATGACAGTAACTGCTGGTGTGATGACGTCATTTTTTCATCTTGCTTTATCCCGAGAGGCTCCCTTCAGCCGCTCCGATAAAACAACCAGACAGAAATCACCATTTTAATATACTAAGCTATATTTGTCAGGCCAGCGGATTGCATGTGATGCACGCTCTTTAGGCTATAAAAACGCCCTAAGTTTTGTAATATAAAAACCGATATTTTTTTACTTTTGGACCTTTTGAACACACCTTATACAGAACCAATCCTAGCTAGGCCTTTTGTGTCAGTGCCACAGTCATATCTTCACCAGCGGCTATTCATTCATGCACAAAACAAAATTGATGTCACAAATCTTTTAAATGGTTAATAATATTTTTATGTGTAACCAAAGGCTTTCGAGTAGGCTAAACCAGAAAATTTAGTAACAACATGTAATAAACTATAGTATTTTTACCATTGCAGGTTTTCAGATAAAGCAGAGATGGGGTTGTTTGTGAGCCGATATGTGTTGTCGTTATTGTTGTTCGGCCTCGGCCTTCGAGCTCCAGGGGTGGTTACAACTCAAGATTACGTCAATCTGAACAACGCCTTCCACACTTCTCAACAATCTCGACAGGTCAGGTGACTTTGCTAGTTTTGTTGTTATCTGTCAGATCTTAGCCTATTGTTTGTTGTCGTTCCATGCATTTTTTCAAATATTGATAATTTGTAAATGTTTTTCTGTTCAAAATATTTATTCACATTGAAAATAGGTTCCTTAAGGTAAAAAACAATTTACTTTAAGTCATTAACACAATTTGGATGAACAAGTTAAAAGTGTAATATTGAAAAATCGTCTTGTTATAAACTATACTACTGGTTGATTAATGATTAGTAATGCTTTATCTAGACCATAAATTTGTTGTCTGTCTTGACACAATCAGTTGGGAGATTAAGTTAGGCTTTAACACTGGAGGTAGATTTATCAGTTCAAGGGCTTGAAATATATACAGCTAAAACTTACTGTACAATATATATATATTTTTTATTAACTCATTGTAGTTTATTTTTCATGTTGTGGCCTATATAAGACTTAGTACCTACACCTAAAATATCTTGACTTATAAACATAATATGTTTACTATAATGACTTATACAATACATGTATTAAGTACCTAAACTTAAAGATTTGTGATCTAAATTAAATGATACTGAAATGGATAATTTCATTCAAATTCAAATTTATCTGTATGATATAAACAACAACCTTTATTTTACTAACTACTCAAATAAATTGGGTTTGTTTACTTCTGCATAAAGGTGAGCTAGACAAGCTTTTTAGGGGGAAATTAAATTTAAAATATTTCCAACACATAGTTAAAAGGGGTAATTTTTTCATATGTTCACGACGAGTGTTATAAATATTTATTATATATTAAATATTTAATCTTACTAATATTATAAATGTGAAAGTTTGTGTGTTTGTTTGTTTGTTTGTTTATTTGTTTGTTTGAAGTTCAATCACGCATTAACTACTGGATTGATTGGGCTGAAATTTGGCATGATGATAGCTCACATTCCCGATTAACATGTAGGCATATTCTTATCTCAAAAACCTTTCGGGCTCCGCCCCAGTCGCTCTGCAGTTCCCCATGTTAACCTTATGAGTATCTATATATATAATTCCGTAAGTCAAATTTTTGTAAAGAAATTGTGAGTGAGTGGATGGCCGTAGAAGGATGGGAGGGGTCTTATTTTAAAGGTCTTGACGTGAATTTTGAGGGAAAACTATTCATTTTTCTTATTTTTTTACCATAAATTCGCAACAGAATAAAACTTTTCCCATTAAAACAACATGGGGTTTAATTTGTTTACATCTTTTGAAATTAAAACAGCTGTGCCACAGATTTGAAACCAGTGATCAATACACGCATTTGGTTTACTTTTAGCCAGTCAACTATGAAATGTATACTATAATAAAACTGAAATATTGAAGATTAGTCGGAAAAACGTCTGCATTCTTTGTTTATATTTAAATCATATACTCAAGTTCATTTTTTCGTGCTTTTACGTTATTGTCGTGTTAAAGGAATAAACGACATGGAATAAATATTCTGTATAAATAATCAAAGAGTCGAAATGAAATCTAACTTCTGTTTTGTTTTTATTTTTAAATCATATGTTCAAGTTTATTTTAAATGATGTTGTTTTCTTTATATTTCTACACATTTTAAGGTTAAGGTTGTGTAAATACAACTAAAATAACCTATAAATGTTATTGGTTCTAAAATGGTGTATTTGCATTCCTTCTTAAGTAAATTTTTTTAGTGCAGTGAATATACAACGTAGAGTAATCATATTCGATCATACTTTTATAAAATCACCAGGGATTCAAGATGTTTTGGTATGTAGGCTGCTGGATATATATTCTTTTCATTATAAGTACTGTAATTAATATGAACGCCAGGGGAATACCACAAAGGCGGGAAACTGTTCATAGGAATGACAGTGCGCGTAGGAGAGCAAGAGTAGATAATGACGAACTTAATCAAGATATGTTACAACCCCTTTTTAGGAGACCCATGGTAGACGAGAGAAATGTAAAGATCCATGATGCAGGATTATTGGACCAAGAGTGCATTCAATGTAGTGCTCTTCATTTTAGAGAAGAACTAACGAATAATCATTTTATGACATGTTGCCATAACGGACTTATTAACCTTCCTCAGTCAAAAACTAATGTAGAACTTAAAAGTTTGTTTGAAGAGAGCCCACAACTGTATAAATTCATTCGACAATGCAACAGTGCGATGGCTTTTGCTTATTTTTCAGCCAGTAAGAAAGATATTCCAGGAAAAGGACCATACTGTTTCAAAATTCAAGGACAGATTTATCGTTCAATCTCAGATTTGCTGCCTCAACATGATGAAGACCCCGTGTATGGCCAATTGTACATTATTGACACATCAACAGCAACAGAAATTCGTCAAAGGCGTCGAGAAAATAGTGACTTAAAACCTGAAATATTGTCAAAACTAGCTGAAATTCTATTAGAAAATCCATTTGCACAAATTTACAAAAGAGCTTCGGAAGAAATGGTTGTACAAGGTGACAGTGAATTAGAACAGGATAAATATGGATCGTCGTAGGTATAATAAGCCTACTGCAGATGAAATTGCAGGTGTCTTCAATTCATCTGAAGGCGAACCTCCAATGAATTTTTAAAATTCCAAACAGGGAAGCTTTTATTTATCCTCATTAACCACAAGACCAAAGCTACCTTAGTAAACCAGTATTTATTCACAAACAACGATATGTTTGCTGCCTTTTCATGTTAAACCACTGGAGTGATTCAAATTATTTATTGAAAATGACATCAACAAAAGCAAACAAAGAAGAACAACAAACTGGTTTTAACACAAAAGATATGGTGTAGGGATGCCTATTCTGACACATAGATAATGTTATTCTGAGTTTGTTTAAATACCGGTATTGCAAAAAGTTGTTTTACATTTGAGCTTTTTAGGGACTTATGTCCCTACAAGCCACTAGTTTATATTAAAAGGGAGAGTTTAGTCAGCTGTTTCAACTAAAAAAGTTGGTTCTATGATATGCAAAAGCATTTAAATTTTTAAGATTTACCAACAGGGTGCAGCACTATTTTTTTATTTATGAAAACAGCTAATTTTTAACCAAGTAGCAACAAAAAACCATGACACACAATGAGAATTGTCAAAGTTGGGTTGTTTACAGTTATATTTATGTTTTTAATTTCATGAATAATTTGTGATATTTTGCAAATCTATAATAATTTATTTTCTCTAATTGTTTAGTTTGAGTGGTAGAACATTATGGCTATGGTAGATGTGTAATACTATAGTATACCGTAAATTTAAAGAAGCAAATTTTATCAAACTGTGTCCTCCCCCCATTGCAAACGCAAAGCCTGAGTATGAATGCAATAAGCATTTTATACTTATGTGCCAATCCCGAACGAAGGACGGGTATTCAGCTAGTATATAATATATATTAAATATTTTATTATATATAATTATTTAATATACTATATATAAATATTAGGCCACTCACTCATAAAAAGTTCTTCAATTACTATAATATTTTTGTAAAAAATTAAGATATGTCACGTAAATATGTTTAACAGCTCAAATGTACATTTCTCATGATGTCTCGCCAAATATATATAATCTAAATAAATATTTAGGTTTGAAACAATCCTTTATTCGTGTAAATGCCCTGCGCAATACATTGGTCTAACAGCAGAAAATTTAAGATAAAGGATGAATGGACACCTTCATGACGTTAAAACCAACAAAGGAAAACCCATGGCACAACATGCCCTAACCCACATAACCTCCAATATGACAGTTGCTACACCACAAAAGCTGTGAAATCCCTAACAAAGAACCAATGCAATACCATGCTTAGAAGATGGGAATTGGCCTACAATTTGTTACAAATTCACGAGCTCCTCTCCACCCTACTTGAACATAAGATAAACTCAAATTCCCTCCAAAATCTTCCTTACCCACATAACTAACTACAGTAATAGAGTAAAATCAACGGTGTAAATATATATAAGTGTATACAGTTTATAAGTTTTAGTGTAAACAATCTAAGTGTGTGCAAGCCTGTAAGACATTTAAAACAGTGCCAGAACTGTAGCCATTCTACCTTCTACCTCTGAAGAAGCCCCTGAAAGGGGGGAAATATCAGTTTGATGTGTAATTTCTATATATTATATTGACCTCCACTCTTTATTCAGGTGAGTCAGTTGTGTATCCTTCCTTTCTCCTCAATAATTATTCCAAAGCCAAGTTGCTTTTTTCCCTTTGATAAACCTATTCTTGTAAAGTAATTCTAAATTTTAATGTACTAAAGGCCAATCCTGTAAATAATATTTTTCAATTTCACAATCGCTTTAGAAAACTACATTTTCATCTTCAGGCTGTTTTGAAAACTAATTCAAAAAGTTAATATATCAGTGGCCAACTAACTGATACCTACACTAGAAGAATGCCTGAACTGAAACTAGAAGAATACCAATATCTTTTTTTTACTAGAAATATGAGAATACCTACTCTGGAACCAAAAGATTGTGATTGTTTCAAATATAATTTTAAATCGACATTGTATACTTGCCCTAAAAACCATGTAAAAATCTTGTTATTTAATCAAGTCTGTTTGCAGGATGACAACACTGGCTCGACGTGGCGTACAGCATGGCGTAGGATGAAGACCCTGATGCCGTTTCTTTGGCCCAAAAGGTCAGCACGTCTACAGTTACAAGTCTTGGTGTGCATCCTTCTGCTAGTGGCAGGCCGAGTCATCAACCTGTTTGTTCCCATTTACAATAAGCTCATTGGTGAGTTGATTCCGTAGAATGTGTGATTGTGCATGTTTCCCTCTTTTCCCATAGCATCATAGGATTGCGAATACCTTAATCTAATGGTCATAAACAGATCCCATATCCCGAACAGCTCGCCTTTACTACTTCCTTCACCACTTCCTATGTCGCGGACCTGTTTCCTTCCCTTCCAATAGCATTTTAGGATTGCAGATACCTTATCTAATCCTCACAAACAGTTTCCACAGTCCGGTGTCCAGACTGCTTGCCTTTACTACTTCCTTCACCACTTCCTACGTCACAGACCTCAAGCTAGTGTCGTCATTTGATTATATTTATGATCCATACCGTTTCTGTTTTAATATCTGTGGAAATATGCTATCAGCTATTTCTTTATCTACTGCATTAAAAAGTCAGCAGCTGATCATATGTCTTTGTTTATGTGTCAAAATACTGCTTCCATAAGGATTACATTGAAACTTTTTGACCCAGCGGGGCGGATTCCTGAGAGACTTTTTTAACGCCATATAGATGTTGGCACTCACCGATATGGTCTTTATCACCATGCAAAATTTTAAAACGATTGATTGATCATCTAGGAGGAGTATGCGTATTACAAAATGCATAAGAGTCAACGTATAAGAGCTTCGCTCAAGAAAAAAAAAAAACAATAAATGCAGTATCCTTAGTAAAAAAGGTTTGATAAAAAAAATTAAACTTTTTCTAAATCTTGACAATGTTATTTGCTGGTTACAGTGGACAGTATGACTACCACCCCACTCTACTTCCGCTGGGACCTGATAGTGACGTACGTTGGGTTCAAGTTCCTACAGGGAGGTGGTACTGGAGGAATGGGTTTCCTCAACAACATGAGGTCATTCTTGTGGGTTCGCATCCAACAGTACACTACTAGAGAGGTTGAGGTCAGTAGTAGCTCAGAGTCAACATCAACAAGTCTTTTTTCATAGTTTTTTACACTAATCTGAGAGACACTTTTATCATTGACTATTGGATACTGAAGTACTGATGTTATTGGATCATAACATCTATATAACCTAGACCAGCTGTTGCAAAATTTTACTTAAAAAACATACTTGTGTGAGCCAGTCACAGAATGCGCTAGTGTCTAAAATTCTATTTTCTGCTTTATTTTTTTTTTGCTGATACAGTTGATGGGTCATAAAAGTTGCTAAAGCTCACAATAATAAGCTATTCCATCAGTTTGACTGGGTAAAAAAGTTCCTGTATGTGACAGAAATTAATAATAGAGATCAGCAAAATCAACTAATAGGCCTAGAGTGGCTCACATCAACTACGAGAATTTTGATAAAAAACTAGCGACAAGTTAGACCGCTTAGTTAGTTGGTTAGTTCCATCCGTTAGTTAGATGGAATGTTTAGTTGAATCAATAGTCAAAGCCTTTATTTTTACTCTAAGTCATGTAGGTTAGAAAGAACATACCGGTACAGTAAAGCAATGCTTAACCCAAACAATGGAAGCTGGATAACTAAGTTTCCTTGATGCTAATGTTTTCGGTTATTCCATTTACAGACATAAACTAATCGGCTGAATACAATTTATACAGTCCAACCTCAGTATAACGAATCTGAAGGGACCGAACTGAATATTCGTTATATCAAGGATTTCGTTATATCAAGGATTTCGTTAAAATGAGGTTCGTTATATAGAGGTTAGGTTTGCAGGAATTTCGCTAAGTCGAGGTTGAGAACCAGCGTCGGTCAATATAGGCCGGGATTTGACCTCATTAAAACACAATTAAAGTAGCATAGGCTACAATACTTTACAGTACAGTGTTCATTGTACAGTAGAACCTTCTGTATCCAATAGTCAATGGTAGAACATAAATTATCCGGCATAATAAAGGTGAGGGATCTTGAATATTGCGCAATCATGACAATGGCATTGACCCTGGTACAGGTTAAAAACTGTAAGTTTAAAATCACAGCTTGTTCTAACCCTCCTAAAACCTAGCCAAACACTGTATTGTGTAGTCATAAACCATGTAAAGAACAAAACAAAACAATAGAAAGTTTTGTAAGCTACTGACTGCTCCGTGATAGGCCGGTAGGCTAGTACAGTACTGATTTATCACAACAGAGGAATGTCAATAATAATCATTAACTATAGCATTGGTGTTGCTAATTGAAACAAATCGTATTGAAAACGATAAATTATTAGATAAGTCATTATAAAAGTGCATATTCATAGCCAAGTTAAAGATAATAATACCCCTGCCGCAGCAAACCTGCCGTCTAAGCGAATTTCCATTTGGCCGAATTGATTTTCAATTGATCTATTTAAATAACATTAGGTTTAACGAGTACCTAGGTTTGCTGCTACAAGGAAACTAATAAAGTAGTGTGTTTTTAGTAAAATATTGATAGCTTACTATAAAATAAATAAATTTGCCAAGTTTGATCAAAATATATCCATAAACAAACAAACTACAACATTTTACAATATTCTCCATAAGAATAACATGGGAATTTTAAATTTACCATTTTTTTAGTATTCTCCGTAACCAATAACCGTACAAAAACACTTTGATATACTGAATTGTTTGTTTTTTAAAGCTCTTTAAGAAGGTTTAGAGAAAAATTGGGAAATTTTGTGTTTTGAGGGTAAAAAGTGAGAAAAACCAATTTTTACCCCATAAAACCCCCCATAAAACCCTGTTCCCATGGTCCGATCATGCTGGATCGCGAACTCATTCAAGTTTATCCCGCCTTACACCTTCAAACCAAATTTCATCAAAATCGGATAAAAATTACTCAAGTTATCGTGTTCACTGACACATATATATATATATAAATCTATATATATATATCTATATATATATATGTATATATATATATATATATACATATATAAAAATTTGAACGAATGGTGTTTTTGGCCTCTGGGGACATTAAAATGAAAAAGTAAATCGGTCCCGGGCCTAAGTCTTACCATGAGACCTACGGTAATAGCTACTTCCCTATAGGGAAATTCGCTAAAAACACTCGTAAATTGACGAATGTTAAAATAACGATGTTGCTATTCTTTCTCTTTGCTTTTGTTTTTATATTCTTTCTTAGATTTCTCTTTATCCAAAAATTGTACAATTCACCATATTTACCTATCACCCAATCACAGCTTACTACAGATTACGTCGTCATCAGTCCTCAGTGAATGAAATCAGTTCTCAGTTGCAACATTGCGTGCGCAGCGACAGCAGACAGAGAGATGTGTAAAACGGAGCAGACGAATGTTAGCGCAAGTGATGACGCCACCTTTCCATTTCATTTGATAAAGAAACAGATTTTCCAAAAACAATACTGGGGTGGGGGATTTGTTATATCAAGGGAAAGACGTAGACAATTCGTTATGTAGAGGTTAAATTCGCAATGTAGAGGTTCTGGCAATGATAAATTCGTTATATTGAGGTGTCTTATTTTAGCCGAAATCACGAGAAATTCGTTAAATCAAGGTCGTTATGATTTGTTCGTTATGTAGAGGTAGAATATACATAGTCTCTTATGGAGAGTTCTAGGGGATAAAAAGAAATTTGTTATATCAAGGAATTCGTTATATTGAGGTTCGTTATATCAAGGTTAGACTGTAATATAAGTTATGTTTGTGCTGTGTAGAGTCCATTTTGACGTTTACATCATATATTATGTTATTTACCATCTTTAATAATTTACAGCCAAATTGAACAGTTCATTCATACAATTTTGTTTATTTGTATACTTACCAAAAATATGAAGCCAAAATCTGTACAATTTACCCTGAAATGGGTGAGAAATATCTAGTAAACATCAGCTCTCTCATGTGTGGCACAACATGGTATGTGGCTCTCTTCATGGACACAAAACACAAATCCAAATGAGTGTCAGATTTTGAAATAGGTTAAGACGCCTACTTGCAGTATCCTAAGCTAATGATGTATCTACTGTGTTTGAGATCATAATTCATATGTGTTCCTACAGGTGACTTTGTTTCAACACCTGCATGGATTGAGTCTCCGATGGCACTTGTCTCGTAAAACAGGAGAGGTAATATCAAATCAAAGCTCTGTTTTGAGCAGTTGCAAGTAACCTTTTCATTGCACAATTAACAGCAAAAAGTATTTCTACTTTTATGCGGTAATGATTCTTAGTCTCTTCTAAACATCCTTAAAACCCAAATAAATGTTAGAATTGTTAAAAATATTAAAATTTATTTAAGTTGTAATACTACATTTAGTGAGAAGCCAGGCCAGTCTAATAACACACAGGGAAATAACAAAGAAGACCTATTTACCTTCTTTTCTATACTTAGTATATGGATAAATTAATGTTTTTGTCAACATTTTGAGTTTGAGTTTTGGGTGGAAATAGGTTGTTTTGGATCCCCTGAACTTAGAAAAGTGATTTTCGAAATGATGTGTGTGGATGTGAACTTACAGAGCTACAGACTAGACTCAAGGTCTGATTTTGAAGAAATTTTGTATGCATGGTTATTTAAATTTTATCTCCAGGCGTTTTTTAATTTTTAACTTTTTATGGTAATTTTTCCTAAAAAATTAAAAAATCAGATCGATCTGACCGGTTGAAGCTCTAACGATTTTGATAAAAATTAAGTATGTTATGATCCTTTTAACTCTAAACAAAATGGTACAACCCCCAATGCTGTAAAAATTACAGTTCAAGAGTTATTTTTGATGGAAAAAAGCAACTTGGCTTTAGAATTTGTTTGGGAGAAAGGAAGGACACACAACTAACTCACCTGAATAAATAGTGCCAGGAGGTTAAAAGAACACAGAAAAGTACCTAAGACATAACTGACATTTCGCCCTTTACAGGGGTTACTTCAGAGGTAGAATGGCAGTTACAGATCTAGCACTGTTCTAAATGTCTGTCAGGCGTGCCAACACTTCACTTGTATAAGCTACAAATTTAAAACTACACATAATCACACCATTACTTTTACTGTGCTGTTGTAGTTAGCTGTGTTGGTTGGAAATATTTTGGAAGGAATTTGTGTTTATCTTTGGTTTAAGTTGGGTGGAGCTGGTGAATTTGTAACAAATTGATAGGCCAATTCCCATCTTCTAAGCGTGGAGCTATTGCATTGGTTTTTGGATGGGATTTAAAAGCTTTTGTAGTATAGTATAGTAACTGTAAAATTGGAGGTTGTAGGTTAGGGCATGTTGTGCTGTGGGGTTTTCTTTGTTGGTTTTGTTTTAACGTCATGACAAAAAAGAATTAAATGGACACCGTCATGACGTTATAGTATCAATATCCCAAACAATGGAAAAGCATTGCTCTCAAGTTGTCAAAATTATTACATTTGGGTGAAGTGTTGTTTAACATTTTATATAGTTAATTCTTAGTATGAGATATTCGTATGACAAATGATAGCCAGGTATTCATCCTTTATAATTAAATTTCCATTTCCAGTAGATTACAATATTTTGAAAACCAAGCTAGTTCATAAATATTTTATGAATCATATTATTGAAAGTCTACTACATAACCAACAGAAAATATTAAGAATTTACCTAAAATTACTCTCTTGCAAATATTTTAATAAGCCCTTTTTTATATAGGCTAAAACTTAGCTAGCTTACCTGAGGAAATTAGAATCCATAGACATAGAGATACTTAAAAAGTAAAAAAAAATAACACTTATGTTTCGCCCTTGGTAAAAGTAGTACTTCAACAGTTTTTCTAATCAGTCTACTCTAAACAAGTCCTATCTTAGGTTGAAATACTGCAGTTGTGTTGTGTATCTACATCTAGACTAAAACATTCTGAGGTAAGCCAGCTGAACTGCTATCGTTTCTAATCCTCAAGATAAAACTTGTGTTTTGTAGGTGTTACGAGTGATGGACAGAGGAACAGACAGTATTACCAACCTCCTGAACTACATACTGTTCAGCATCATCCCCACCCTGGTGGACATCGCTGTGGCTGTTATATATTTTGTCTCTCTATTCAACGCTTGGTTTGGCCTCATTGTGTTTGTCACCATGGCACTTTATATTGGTGAGATGAATAAAATAAATGTCTAATGCCTGGTAGGGGATATTTGATATTTTTTTGCATTAGTTAAATATGTTTTTCAGTTTTAGTTTTTAGTTATATTCATCGTTTCTTAATCATCTAAACACAAACATCTGTAATGCTATAACAAACACTTTTTATAACACATACACACAGTGTAAGAATATTTAAAATAAGCATCAGACCTGATTACACCCATTTTGTCTTTTTTTTTGTAAACTTGTTATGAATTGCACACCACCAGACGACCTAGATAGGGTTCAAAACTTAGATCTACAGTGCTGTCCCCTGGATGGGAAGTAAGCCTGAGACCTAATTCACCCTGAGATCTACCATTATCACTTCTGTGATCGCAGCTAACTGCTAAATATCACCCGTGGTCACAGAATCTTCATTGTCTTCCACAATCACGACAACATATGTAAAGATTAAGATTATCATTGTATTCTGTGTTGGCGGAATCAGAATCAGAATCAGATTACTTTATTCTTGAACATAGAGTACAGAATAGACGTCAAACATTACAGAGAATTAATTATAAAACAGTATAAAGTTGTTGGGCTTTGAGGCGCTGTCGGTAGTGATAGTTATTACTATGAGAGTTGTTTAGTACACTCACTGGAACATCGGTGATGTCCTCCAGTTCATGAACTCCTCAACTGTGTAGAATGGTCTCTCCACAAGCCAAGCCGACAAGCGTTGTCTGGTGCTGCTTGTGCTGGGGCCTTTTATTGTCTCTGGTAGCAGGTTCAGGAACTTCACTCCCATGTAGGAAGGCTTTTCTTCAAAAAGAGTTAGATGATGGACTGGAAGTGTGTAATTCATAGCCTGTCGGGTGTTATCGCTGTGCCTATCCATACCTCGGAATATTTCCTGCGGTGTTGTTTACGTCAACATCTCCCATGATGATGGAAAAATATTTAACATCTCCTGGTTCTCATGAATATCCCAATAGTCTTCATTGATTTCAGTTGAATTCTGAATATCCCATGGTCATATGGAAATCAACATAGCCCCCTGCCATTGCAAATGAAAATTCTCATCACCTCCCGTGGTTGTGTAGACATATCCATCAGTGACAGTATCTTCATCATCGTCATCCATGATTCCGGCTAAATTGTAAACATATTCTGCGGTCGTATAAACATTTCTATTGTCTTCTACAATTGTGATGAAATTCTTATCATCTTGTGCGGGTGTGTAGACATAATCATCATCTCCTGCGGTCACGGAAGTTTCCGATTGCGCGATCTTTACAGGCAATTTAAGTATCGTATTGGCATCGACTTGATGATTGATTCTTGATAGTGATATCAATGTCCATGTATCGGTGGTATCAAGAATTGACAGATCTCTAGTTTCTTTTGTGATTTTCTAGCTTTGGCTGAGTTCCTATCATTATCTTGTACTTTTTCTGTACTTTCTTACCTGGAGACTATATCAGATTCCATTATCGTGATATTTTGTGGTTTTCAAGTTTTGGCTGGGTTTGAGTACTTACATTATCATGTAATCTTTTTTGGTACATTCTCACTTAAGGATGGGGTCTGTTTCCAAATCCAAAAACGTCGTCAGGACTCTCTTGTTCATAATCGTGATAGAAAATGTCAGCAATAACGCCTCAACTAAATTGTCTATTTATCTGTATTTTTTGCTTAAGTGGTTGAAAGGTTGACATTGGTAAATATAATGTTCCCATTGACTCCAGCCGCTACCATCATCATAACTGAGTGGAGGACCAAGTTCCAGCGTAGTATGAACCTGGCAGATAACGCAACTAAGGCTCGATCTGTAGATTCTTTACTCAACTTTGAGACTGTCAAGTACTACGGAGCAGAAGACTATGAGGTTCAAGCCTACAGAAGTGCTGTCTTGGAGTACCAGGTGTGTTTAGTGAAAATATAAATAATAGAGACAGACAGACTCCACCTCAATTTTATAATAGTATAGATATTATGAAGTTAAAATGTAACATTTATTTTTGAAACTAAAGTTGATTGTTTTTGATGTTATTGACCAGTCAAGGACCATTGTCATAGTTGGTATCAGGATTTATTATCTGAAATAGTTTATAATGTTGTTACAGATATTTTACAGACAACATACAAATGAACAATGCGTATTCCATATGTTTAAGAACTACTATGAAAGTCCAGTATGTTAGGAAACCAAAATTTACAAATGGAATGTTTTTGGCGCCTCTTAGTCTTTGATCTTGAATTTTCATGTTATATCAATGTAAGAAAAACTTACCAACATACAAATAATTTCAAATGATCTACGTTATTTTGATAATGAATATGTGTGGTAGTTCTAACAATCAAAAGTGAAATTTGAATTTGAAGATGTTTTTGAATTTAGGAAGTGTTAATGAAGCTCGTTTTACTGTATTATTATTATTAATTTTCATGGAGATTTAGTAAATGATGTGTATTCATCTAGGTTGATCCTGTAAGTGTCTTTTAATGTTCACAAATACAAATCAATTTTCATTCAAAGTATTTTTACAGAAAGAGGAGTTCAAGAGTGTAGTATCGCTGAACCTCCTCAACTCTATCCAAAACGTGATTGTGTGTGGTGGTCTACTGATCGGGTCACTGTTGTGTGTGGACTTGGTAGTCAACGAGGGAACTCTCACAGTCGGAGACTACGTGTTGTTTGCTTCCTACATCATACAGCTCTACGTCCCTCTCAACTGGTTTGGCACCTACTATAGGTCAGTCATCACTTGTATACTTGATAGGTTAAGTCTGGTTAAGTGTACTGAAAAATAACATTATAACAAAACACAAGAAAATAAACCAATAACTTGCCTAGAGTGTTATCCACTTCACACTATTTTAATGATATTTCTACTTTCGTCGCTATAACACCATTATTAGGCAACTTAGTAATCACTGCCAAAGTTTCAAATGTGCTGAATCAACATTGTGTCTTTAAATTTTTAAGGACATAGTTTTAGGGAAATTTTGCTAGCGGTCTGAGATACAAATTTGTATTCTTTGATTCTCAGTAAAAAACCATCATAAAAATTGAAATAAGTTTAGTTTGTTAATAGGAAGTTTTACATCAACAGATTTTAAATTTAACTAAGTAAATTACTTGTTTTAAAGATATTGCATTGCTTATCGAAATAAAAGAAAAAAAGAAGAAAAAAACAGTTGTCTTTAGCTAAATTCTGTTCAGAAATAAATCAATTAGCATTATAGTCAATGTTAAAAGACTCCCTATGTTTAATCCTTGAGTGTATCAATCCAATGTATGTAAAAATGAAATAAAATGAAATGAAATGAAATCAACTTTATTCATACTTTGCAAACACAAAAAGCTTCTTTCAAGAGATTAACATATAAAGTGTTTTACTACTGTCTTAACACCAACATGAATTAATCATGATAAGGTTTCTCTCATACTTTTTTGATATATTCTGTCATATTTACTAAAGAACTAGTGTACCAGTTGTTGAATTTGAGCAATTGCTAAGTATTACAGGCGTTATTTTAAAACGAATAACAGTCATAATTTCTGATGACTTTAAAAGATTCGACTCAAAGATTATGGAAATACTCAAGGTGTACATAACAGATCGATATAATCAAAATGTTCTTATAAATATCTTATCGTTTTTCAAAAACTGATCTTTTTTTTAGTTTTTTCTACAAATAGCCTTATTCATAGCCGCATTAGGTTATTAGCAAACTTATTGACTGTTTGCAATAAAGATTTTATGTTCTTCTTCTCACTTTTAATTTCTGACAACAGCTGGAGTTTCATAACAATTTTTTTCCCATGTTAATCTTATGGAGGAATACAAAACTTTAAAGGGCCCCAGGGCCTCACTCTCTAATTATTTCCCTAAAAAGAAAGTTTTCTGCACAACTTCACGTTAAGCTCTTTCCAATGACACCAAAAACATGTCAATTGTTTCAGTAGTTTCGGAGGAGTAATTGTCACAAAAAACCTGCTTGCGTATTAAATAAGTACTAGTGAACCGGTACGGCTCAATGCCCCGCAAAAACATATGAATAAAAAAAAATCATCGTGTTATATATTGACTCGTCGAAAATTAAATACAGTAATAATAAAGCATTATAAGGGAAGCAATCCAGCCATTTTGTAGCTGTATGCGTATTATATTTAGTAAATTAATAAGTGTTCAAGTTCAAGTATGTTACAGGGTAAAGATTTTTAAAAACACATTTAACAAAACATTTGATCATATCAAACCAATAGGCAGTGAATGTAGCATATACCTAGCATATTTTGAGGGTCATAACAATGATGTTTGAAGAAAACACTTTTAAAAATAAACACTAAAAAACAATATTTTTTTCACAAAAGCACTTCCATAAATACTACGATTTTAGTCTTAAAGTTACCTTCAGTAATATTACCCTGGTCAGAATTTTCCGTAATGAATGTGCTGATCATACTATTAAAAGATATAGCCTTACTTAAAACAACATATACAGTATATAGTTGCTCATGACTGAAATTGGTCTGGCTAAGAACATTGCTGCTCTTTAATTAATGTGCTTGTGCTGCAAATGCCAAAGATAACAGAAATTAGCATCTTTCCATTTCAAAAGGTAACTTTGTTTCAGACGGGCAAAATTTTTATCCTCGAAATCAAAATATGTCCTTACTTATTTGTTCCATGTTAGGACTTTATATTCTACTTTACATTGTTGTTAACCATTCTGATCACATGAAGCCTTGTGCCATTAATGAGGCCCTTTTTGATGTATTAATATCAATAAAACCACTGCCTCCTTTTATTAGTATAATCTGTGTCTTGGCAAACCACTGACCTCTATATAAAAACTCAGTTGGATTTTCTAGATGGGTGCCTCTGCCTTCGACTGTTTTCGAGGACCCACTCTTTCCCTAGGCATACTGACAATTAACCCATTGGAGACTTATCACGAGACTGTCTCGTGATGGGTTATGGTGGCCCAAAAGCCCCATCACGAGACTATCTCGTGATGACGACTTGACTTTTTTTTTCGTCTACAGTAAATGAATATCACGTAAAATAATTTAAATTAGTGTTTCTAAAGGTAAATAAAGACTTTTACTTTCAGGAAAAAAATATATTACTGTCAAAAATACCCTACAAAGTTTTGTTTTTCCAAAAATAATTTGGGTCACATTTTGATTTTGTTACAGTATAACTTACTATATGAATATATTTATCTCGGTTGTTCTTTCCGAAACCGAAATGTTATCTTTGACACTCTTTGACAAATTCGCATCTGTTTTACAATATTGTAGTGTTGGTAGTCCTGTAAAACAGATGACTAGTAGTAGTTCTATTGTTTTGATGCGTTCGAGGTTGTACTACGTGTGTTACTACGTCATGTTTTGATACGTTACTACTGTTTACGAGTGAGTTACTACTGTTTACTAGTGATTGTATGTGTATTGTTAGTTTTTATTTCATCGTTTTCTAAATGGCGGACCTTCAAAAAGTACGTTTGACCGAGTATTTTCGAGTGAAATAGACAAACTCCTCCAGGAATGTGATTCGGAATTGGACTCTGAGAACGACAGTGATGATGATTTGTTTGACACTATTGGCCGGGCAGATATTCGGGATGAAATTGAACATGATCCAATGGAAATGGAGGAAGATATTGTAGGCCTAGATGAATTCAGGTATGAGATCGATTTTCCTATACCTAATCTGGACCAAGTGATAGGTTATGATCTAGACCTAACCTTAGACGACCAAAATGTAGAACAAATTCAACAAACTGAAGCCCCACAACCAATGGATGTCAGTGACAGGGATGAATTTGAAGAAGAGCAGGGTCAGGGTGATAGACCAAGGGGTACAGTAGGGACCCAGCCAAGCAGAGGAAGAGGTAGGGGATTAGTACAAGGTCGGGGAACACGACGAGGTCGGGGAACACGACGAGGTCGGGGTGGAGAAAGAGGACTTGGAACAAATGAACCACAGGTTGTGAGACAGAAAAAAAGAAAAAGAAAAAAGAGGGCAGATGCTTGGGTGTGGGCCGATGAAGACAACGCGGTAAAAGACATCCCGTATGCTGATGTGTCCGGACTAAATGCTGTGTCAGCTAGAAAACTCGGGGATAACCCTTCAGCTTTTCAGTGTCTCGAAGAATTCTTAGGAGACGAATTCTTTCTGATGGTCTGTCGTGAGACCAATGATTATGCTGAAAAACAGCTAACTAATATAAATAGGCAAAAACGTCATGATGACGATAAGTGGCAGGATCTCACAGTCCCTGAACTGAAGGCCTATTTTGCCCTCTATATTTTGATGGGCCAAGTTAGGAAGCCTACCATCAAGATGTACTGGACATCAAGAAAAATTCTTGAAACTCCGATCTATGCGGAAGTAATGAGTTACCAGCGATTCAAGCTCATATCAAGATTTTTACATTTTTCTGATGATGAGTTCACGGATCGAAGTGATAAGCTGAAGAAGCTAAGGCCAGTAATAACATACCTTCAGACAAAGTATATGCATACATATACTATGAAACAAGACTTGGCCATTGACGAAAGCCTTGTAAAACTTAGAGCTAGGCTTTCCTACATTCAATACAACCCCAAAAAAAGAGCTCGATTTGGGGTAAAGATATACAAGCTTTGTGAAAGCTCAAGTGGATATTGTGGGGATTTCAAAATATACACTGGAGATGATAAAACTCCAAATGTCCCAGCTAGCGAAGCCGTGGTGATGAATTTGGTGGAACCAGTTCTGGATTTAGGCCACAAACTGTTTGTTGACAATTGGTACAACTCCCCTGGACTTTGTCAACGCCTACTGACACGCAATACCCATTGTATAGGCACAGTTAATCTGGAGAGAGTCAATATGCCTGAGGATTTTGACTCTGTCCAACTGGAAATGGGAGAGGCAGTGAGGCGCAGTAAGGACGGAATACTGGCAGTCAAGTGGAAAGACAGGAAGGACGTCCATGTTCTGTCCACAATACATAGTGGGATTGAAATGTCAGTTGACAAGGAGATTGAGAGGAGGGGAGAAGTGAGACAGATCATGAAACCGAAATGTGTAATCGAGTATAACAAAGGAATGTTGGGGGTCGATGTACAGGACCAGATGTTGGCCAGTCACCCGATAATGAGACGAACTGTCAAATCTTACAAAAAGTTGTTTTTTTATATGATTGACATGACTATTTTTAATTCCTTTTGTATATGGAAAATGATCCATGGTAAGAAGGTACACTACAGAGATTACAGGATCGATTTAGTAGAGCAAATCCTTGAAAATGTTGTTTTACCAAATCGTGCAAGTCCAGGTCGTCCGTCAAAAGACAACCCAATGCGCCTGCAGAGCAAAGCATGGGGCCATTTCCCCATGTTAATCCCCCCCACAGAAAAAAAACAATTTCCCACAAGGAATTGTAAAGTTTGCTACAAGAAAAAACTCCGATCAGAAGTTAGGTGGTTATGCAAAAAATGCCAAGTGCCACTCCATCTCGAAGGATGTTTCGAGACCTACCACACTACGTCCAATTATTAGAAAGGACCTCGACAAACTTGTAAATAGTGTAAATATTATGTAGGGTAGGCTAAATTTTGCCTAAGTTTATAAAAAGGTTAGGAAAAGTTGTTTGTGAGTGAACATGAAATTTGTATATGAAATCCTGGATTTGTGTGCCTCTACCAACTTCAATCGAGTGCATTGGATAATTCATTTATGGTAAGATTCCATTTTTTTATCATTTTTTATTTTCACTAGTATTATTGTTTATAATTGTTATGCAGTCAAGTAATAAATTTAATCACAACAGAAAAATATTTTGATATGTTTTTATTTTTGGTTAGATAGTGAAAAATGACTTCATGTTCATATTTGTCGGGGTTAACAAAAAAAATTATAAAAAAAAAAGTATAAGAGATACACAAATATATTTTGTATTTCCACGTAAGGAAATTAATAGAGTATACATGTATGGCAGTTATAAAACTCTAGCACATAAAAATAAAATATTTTTTGATCCATGCTTTCAAAAAAATTTTTTTTTTTTTTTTTAATTTAACTTAGGATAAAAAAATATATTTTTTTTTATATGAAATAAAAACTTGTGTTATCTGAAAGGAAATTTATTTCTGAGTAAGATAACACAAATTGCATGTATGTAGGTCAAAAAACAGACTAGTTTTTAATTTTATACTGAAACCTTACAAATTCGCTACTTTTAATAGGGTTCTGATGGTCATGCTATGTCAAAGAATATTCAGTCTCCAATGGGTTAATTACCTAACTTGTAAAGTTCATGTAGTAATTCATTAATACTGTTAGTTTATAAAGAAAATTTGATAAAATGTACTTGGCTTGGTGCTTTCATAACAGCAAACTCAAAATACACCCACAAGTAAAAAAGAATGAAGTTATTGGTTAAAAAAAAAAACAAAAAAAAAACTATGTTTGTGTAAAAACATTATTCACATGAATTAGATGATTTGTTTGATTTCTCGATCAGCTGTTTCGTTTCTAATGAATTAATAATGTCAAAGATTTGTGATTTTAAATACATAAATTATTATAGTAAAGTTTTCTAAATATGGTAACTTATTCTCAACTAAATTTTACTATTCCCAGCATGAAAATAAAGTAGAGAGATCCATTATGAGTAAAGTTTAAGGCACACAATCCTTGATTGAAATGTAGTATACATTAACAGTCATAATACACAGCAATTATTATGTAGTAGAGGTCGTACGGAACGAGGTGAAGCTTGGAGGGGAATAGTGGTGTGGCGGGGGAAGTGTCGCTATGCGAGGCGACAATCGGCTCGTCTCCTACCCCCACCATGGATTTCCCCGCTTTAGACCGTTCCCGCCGAAAATCTCAGGCTTCACCTCGTTCCGCACGACCTCTAGACTTTGACTATTTTCAAGTAACAAACATATGTTTCTGTAAATAAAATTATCTCCCTTGTTATCCTTATGGAGAAATACGAAACTTTAAAGGGCCCCAGGGCCTCACGCTTTAATTATTTCCTTAAAAAGAAAGTTTCCTGCACAACTTCACGTTACGCTCTTTCCAATGACACCAAAAACATGTCAATTGGTTCAGTAGTTTCAGAGGAGTAATTGTCACAAAAAACCTGCTTGCGTATTAAATAAGTATATAAGATAGATAGATTAAAATCAACCTTAAACATTATTTTACAACCTCCAAGAATACTAAGGCTAGTTAAGTTAAAATTGTAAGCTAAATTAAACTGAAGTCTTTTTAAAAGATTATCCAGATTGATTTAGTTGTTTGCTGTTTCACTCACCACTATTTGGTCCTTGGTGTGATGTAGAGCTATCCAGAAGAATTTTGTAGACATGGAGAACATGTTTGATCTGCTTAATGAGGAGCCTGAGGTGATAGACGCTCCTGGGGCTCCTCCCATCGCCATCACTGGGGGACGTGTCGAGTTCCGCAACGTCGTCTTCTCCTACGTCCCTGAGAGGTGCGTCCTGCGGAACATCAACTTTGTCGTCCCACCTGGCAAAACAGTTGCTCTGGTAAGTTTGTTCTTCTATCGTTTCCTCACTAGTGTAGACCTTATGAAAATTTATTGATGAGAGTTCTGGAGTTTCTGGACCCAGATGACATTTATTGAAGTTATTCAGTAACAAGCCCAGGGGTTGAACTGTTCGTTCATGAAAAATACATAAAAATTTCCAATTGCGTGGATACAGTCTAAATTTTTGTCACAAATTATGTTAGTAAAAATTTTTATTTCTACAGGTTGGACCATCAGGTAGTGGCAAGAGTACAATTATAAGGCTGTTGTTCCGGTTCTACGACGTGGAGCAAGGCTCCATCTTCATTGACGGACAAAACGTGAAGACTGTAAGACAAGACTCTCTAAGACGAGCCATCGGAGTTGTACCACAGGACACTGTGCTGTTCAACAACACAATCAAGTGAGTCTTCTATTGGGTAGAATCAAGTCTCTGAGCTACAAGATTTATATCTAAGATTTCGATTGTCTAAAATAGTAAAATAGTTACAATCCTCTTCTGTTACAGTTATTGTTACCAGGTATGGATATGAATTTAATCTCCCTGTTATGTATCTTGCCATAACTATTATAATTATGCATTGGGAAATGGGAGCTTTGAAATGAGATGCTCAGTCATTGGAGGCTAACATGAAAGAGGCTTTATTCCGGTTCTCTATGCTAGGACAAGTAGTGTAGGCTATTCATGACATAGAGTACAATAACCTAAGACACAATACAAATGTGTATATATAACATTACTCTCTCCTAAAAAGAAAAACATTTTACTTTTATAGAACAAATAATTCCTCCCTCTAAAACAAAAATAATGACAAACTTTTAAATTTCATAAAAAGAACAATTTCACTTAAATTTAAACAAAACAGAGAATAAAAGTTGTCTTTAGAACTAACCTAGCCTAACTTTAAAAAGCCTCAACATTTTAAAAACATTTTACACTTTTTTTTGTTTTTGTGAACATTTTTTTTTTACAAATTAAAATATACATTTCTTACAACCCTTTAATTCAACAAACTAAGACATTGTACCTTAAACGGAAAGTAAATTAAAATAACAGTATAGGCCTAAACACAGAAACTTAAAGCTAACATAAAAATAAATAGGCCTAGTTAAAATGTCATCAAAAGAAATGAGATATCATTGCATTAAAAAATATAGGTTAGGTGATCATTTGGTTTACAAATCAAAAACTTTCTTAGGCACTCTTGTTCTCATGGGATATCGCCTTTTGGGAGTAGAACTCATAGGACTACTATCGCTGGAAATAGGATCATGGACTGCGGAAGTGGCAGATTGGTTAGGACTGACAGCACGATTGGACACAGGACTTTTTGGACTGGCGCAAACAGGATTGTTTGGTTTAGGCGAGGAAGGGCTTAGCATCAGACTTCGCCTATGAACAGGTCTACTCACATCTTCACTTGGAAACAAAGCCTCGGGCCTAACAGACTCGTTTGACCTTGAGGTCACAACATCATTTGACATTTGGTTTTTAAGTGGCAACATTTGATTGCAATGTCGTTTCCAGACTACATCAGAATTACATAACTTAACTAAATAAGAAACAGGACTAAGACACTTGACAATTTTTGCCTTTACCCAATTTGAGGACTGAGAAGTACGGTAGTCTTTTACCAACACAACTTGATTTTCAACAAACAAAATATTTCTACCTTTAACATTTTCAGAAAACCCTGATGAGTTTGTTTGAACAAATCTATCAGGTCGCAACAAATCAAACCTGGTCCTCAACTTCCTACCGAACATAAGTTCTGCTGGTGACTTACATGTTGAACAATGGGTTGAGTTTCTATAGTCAAACAAAAATCTTAAAATAGCCAAGTTAACATCATTACCTTGCTTTAAAGCAATCTTAACACTTTTCTTTACAGTTTGGACTGCACGTTCCGCTGCTCCATTTGTCGCAGGGTGGAACGGTGCTGTAAGACAATGATTAACTCCATTCAGTTTAAGAAAAGAGGCAAACTCGTGAGAAGTCCACGTAGGACCGTTATCTGTTACAGCAGAGTGCGGTAAACCGTAACGTGCAAAAATCTGTCTCAACTGATAGATGACAGAAACAGCAGTGATTGAGCGCATGGGAACGACTTCAATAAATTTGGAATAAGCGTCAATCACTATCAAATACATCTGATTATTAATAGGTCCAAAGAAATCCATGTGGATACGCTCCCATGGACCATGAGGAACGTTCCAGTTACACACCGTCATTTTTGGGGGGTCCTTTCTTTGATCTAAGCATAACTCGCACGAGTTTGCGATTTCTTCAATACACTCATCTAACTTAGGCCACCAAAAGGTTGACCTGGCAACAGACTTCATTTTAACCATTCCTAGATGAGTACAATGCAATTCACTTAACAAACTTTTTCTCAGACTCGTAGGTATTACCACACGGTAACCCCAAAGCACACAATTGTTTTCTACGTTCAACTCTGATCTTTTCAAAAAGAAAGGTCTTAAATCACTAGACATACCTGAATCATTTGGCCACCCATGAAGTGTATAATCCAACACTTTACTTAACACAGGATCCCTTGCTGTTTCCTTACTAACAACTTTAGAGGATATAGGAAAACAGGTAGTTTGTATAAACTTAAAAAAATCGAAATCATCAACAATTTCATCATCGTTAGAACACTTGACTGGCAACCTAGACAAAAAATCAGCATTACAATGTTTAGATGATTTTACATATTCAATATCAAAATCAAAAGCACTCAAAAAATGAGCCCATCTTTGCAGCCTATTTGCTGCCATCTGAGGGATGCCTTTCTTTTTACCAAAAATGGTCAATAGGGGCTGGTGATCAGTCAACAAAGTGAAATGACGTGAATAAAGATACTGATAAAACTTTTTCACGCCAAAGACGATTGCCAAAGACTCTTTCTGGATCTGGGAATAACCTATCTCACTCTTGGAAAGCACACGAGAAGCGTATGCTATCGGTCGCTCTGAACCGTCAGGAAAAACACTTGAGAGAACACACCCAAGACCATAGCTTGACGCATCACAAGCTAACCGCAAAGGCAAACTTGAATCATAATGTGCCAAACATGGGGCTTGGGTCAATAACCGCTTGGCTGACTCGAATGCATCATTGCACTCTCTTGACCAACACCATTTTACATCTTTTGACAAAAGCTTATACATTGGGTGCATAACACTAGCCAAATTACTCAAAAAGCGACCATAAAAATTGATCATTCCCAAAAAACTCTTTAATTCACTAACATTTGAAGGTGCAGGGGCATTTAAAACTGCTTCTAATTTCTTTGGATCAGTGTGAGTACCAAACTTATCAATGTGAAATCCTAAATAATCAATACTACTCTTAAAAAAATCACATTTTTCCCTCTTAACTGTAAAACCAGCTTCATTCAATCTCTTAAGAACATTTCTTACACATTTCAGGTGATCTTGTTTACAATTACCACCAAAAATCAAAATATCATCTTGAAAACTAACAACACAGTCTAACCCAGCTAGAGTTTGATCAATTACCTTTTGAAATATAGAAGGGCCACTAGTGATCCCATATGGAATGCGTGAATACACAAACAAACCTTTATTAGTTGAAATAGTGGTAAGCTTTTTTGACTCTTCGTCCAACATCAACTGGCAGTAGGCCATCTTTAAATCAATTTTACTATAAAAAGAACTACCAGACAACTTTGCTAATAGATTCTCCATTTTAGGCAGTGGGTACCGCTCAACAATTAGGTTAGGATTTAAAGTGACAGAAAAATCTCCACAGATTCTCACACTACCATCATTTTTGGGAATACAAACAATAGGAGTACCCCAGTCACTAAAATCAACTGGCTCTAAAATACCTTGATTGATTAAGTTATCAATTTCACTATTTACCCTCTCTTGGAGAGCAAAAGGCACAGGCCTCGGCTTACAATAAATAGGTACTGTACCTGGTTTTACCCTCAAACTGACAGTTTTTCTAGTAAAAGTTCCCAGATTTTGGGAAAATACCCTTGGAAACTCATTGTAAATCATACGTACATCATCATTATTTACAAAGTGATTCAAATTCAATGTCATTACATCAAGTTCCTTCAGCCAATTTCTACCGATTAACGGTGAACCACCATTATCAAACACATAGAGATCAAGGGTTTTACTTTTAGAATCATACATAACATTTACCTTAATGTAACCTAAAGGCGCAAGTTTTGACCCATCATAAGACTTTAAGTTTAAATCATTTTCAAAAAGTTTAGCATAAGAAAATAAGTCATTGTAGACACCTGTAGATATTGCTGAAATAGGGCTTCCAGTATCTATTTCCATATTTACCATCTTTGAATCAATTTCAACCTTGAGTGTGATTGGAGGTTCATGCTTCGAACTAGGACTAGGCCTAGGCTTAAAATTACTAACACTCTCAACATGATACAAACTCGTGTCGAATACACTATTATCTTCATGAAGTACACCTACCTCACTGGAGCTGTTTACGAGCACATCATTGCAATTGCCTTCATCATTAGAAGAATCATCATTGTTTAGGTTTTGATCAATTTTGTTATGCCTATAAGAAGTATCTTTACCTTTTTTAGGACACACAGCAAGCAAATGTCCTTTTTGCTTACAAAATCTACAAGAAAAGTTTAAATATCTACAATTACTCCTGTAATGATTTGTTCTACCACAGCAAGTACATTTCATATTACTACTTGAAAACTTTTGAAATTTACCACTAGCACTAGACCTGCAATGTTGTTTTGTGAAGAGGTTAGGGTTAGAGTTTTGACTTTGTGTCTGCTTAGTCTGCTTCTTGGTTACACTTCCACTCGTTCCCTGACTTGGTCTGCTAGTCCAACTGTTACCCGTTCCCTGTCCATATTTATTAAATTTACTGTAATTCATGCCTGTTGATTCCTGAACATGGACGATCTTTACATCTTGTTCAGCTGTTTCCCAAGACAAAGAAAATTGGACAGCACTTTTAAAAGTTAGGTCTTTTTCAATAAACAACCGTTTCTTCAAACTATCACTTAATAAACCTGAAACAAACTGGTCCTGCAAGGAAATGTCCCGATTTTCAAAATCACAATCAACTGCTGCTCGCTTTAAACATAGGACAAAATCAGAGATACTTTGAGAACTACCTTGAGTTATTTTATGAAACTTATAGCGTTCTGAGAGAATTGATGGTTTAGGATTTAAATGATTTTTCATTAAGGCAACAAGTTCAGGATACGATTTAGAATCTGGCTTATCAGGTTGACACATGTTTCTAAGCATATCATAGCACTTTTGTCCGATAAACATAAGCAAAAAATGTTTCTTCTTAGCATCAATATCATTAATTACAAAAAATTGCTCTAAACGTTCAATATAACTGTCCCAAGATGTTTCTTCTTCGTTAAAAGGTTCTATTGAGCCTAAGTACGGTGCCCTGAAGGTACTTACGGCGGCTTGCGTACCTGAAGATCCACCTCCATTACCTCCTTTTCCATCATTTCCCGTCATATCTCAATCACTTTACAAACAATTACTGCACTGTACATTATTTTAAAACATTAAAAGAATCCTCGTCGCCATTTCTGTTATGTATCTTGCCATAACTATTATAATTATGCATTGGGAAATGGGAGCTTTGAAATGAGATGCTCAGTCATTGGAGGCTAACATGAAAGAGGCTTTATTCCGGTTCTCTATGCTAGGACAAGTAGTGTAGGCTATTCATGACATAGAGTACAATAACCTAAGACACAATACAAATGTGTATATATAACACTCCCCACCTTTTATTATGCCTCGATAATTCCTCTCCCATTTCACTCCTCTTTCCTCCCCTCTCCCTCCCACCACTCTTCATCCATCCACCTTCGTTTAGGTCTTCCTCTCGGTTTAATTTTCTCTCTAACCATTCCCTTCATGTCCATAAGAGTTTTCTCTGGCATGTCCAAACTATGTCTGTCTTGCTTTTTCAAATTTTGATATTTGTTTGCTATTCACATTTTGATTTGGCCTAGAGTCTCTTAATTAATATTCTTGATTTGTTACAGGTACAACATCCAGTATGGTAGAGTCAATGCTCTTGATGCTGATGTGGTGGCTGCAGCTAAAAGTGCCGATATTCACAGCAGAATATTGTCTTTCCCTGAGGCTTACAATACTCAGGTAACCATAAGAGACAGTTTCATTTATTGAGCCATAGATAAAATTATGTTATCAATTATAAGAAACTTGTGATTGGTTCTTTTAACTAATAAGTGACAAGTGTAGTTTTACTATAATATTATGGTACAATACCTCGTCAAGTAATCCAATTGTTGATTGAGGTTAACAACCTACATGTTTTGCCGTGAATACGGCATCATCAGGGTTACAAAAACGAAGACATTGATGTCACTTGCACACAATAAATACACGAATACGAACATTTAATTACAGAAAGTTGACATATTACTTGATGAGGTATTGTACCATAATATTATAGTCATATAAAGTAATCCAGGGGCCATCAAGATGGAATTTAATAGTGTAGCTTTATTGATATTTAATGTCCCTTCACTATTAATTATCATTTAATTGATAAATTGACACAACAATTCTATTCGGAAACTACTAGCCAACCCCTAATTCTAGGATGTATAGTTACTTCTGATAAGTCTACTAACTCTTGTTTTATTGGCTAGAATCATTTAATGATACCCATATTTGTGTTTGGCTACTAGGTAGGAGAGAGGGGACTAAAGTTGAGTGGGGGAGAGAAGCAGAGAGTGGCCATCGCCAGGACCATACTGAAGGCACCTACCGTAGTGCTGCTTGATGAAGCTACCAGTGCACTCGACACACAGACTGAGCGCAATATACAAGCGGCGCTGCAGCAGGTATGGTATCTATTATATTAGTGATACAATCAAATGTTATGTAAACGGTTAAGGCCATTTCCCAAATAAAAATATAGGCATATTGAATATCAAAATGAAGCTTAGAGTGTGTAGATTTGCCGAAAAGTATTGATATGGGCAAACTCCCTAAGGGCTCTGCCCCACAGGCTGATTTCCAAAGGGCTACGCCTTGCATGTGTTGGAAGTTAACGCTATTCAAATAATTTAGTGAACAACAGCTAGCCAATTCAATTGGCAATATAGTTTGTTTGTTTACATTTTTATTTACTTATTTTATTATTTACATTTATGTTCTTAAAAGAGGTGTGGTGAATGGACAGTGAAGCTATTTCTAGCTGTTTGATACAAGTGAGTGTTAAAGGGGTTCGAAACACTCTGAATATGATATGAGATTAACAAACCATGTTTGTTGTTCGTTCCAAGAGGTTATCACCGATCTTTAACAGGTCGCCATTTCATTGAAAAGTATTAAAGACGTTGTGAAAGAGAGCGGCGAGTTCAGGTACAACCGTACCCACCTCGGCCAACTTAGGTCGTAAGGTATGAAGGTTCCACTGCTTTTAACAACCTTTCAGATGAGAATTCCTCGAACTTGGACCCTTTAAATGAAATATAAAGTCAAAGTTGATTAAATTAATTTAATGGTGGCTTCTGTATACCAAGTACACCCGTGAATTCGCGGGTAGAACCTCTTGTTATCAGTTAATTCTAATGTTATAAAAAAACCAGGGCTGTGCGAATCCAGAAATTTTGGTTCGAATCCGAATCCGAATCATAGCTGTACAGATTTCATCGAATCCGGATCGAATCCGAATATTTTAATTAATCCCGAGTCGAATCTGGGTCGAATCCGAATCTCAAATTTACAGCCATTATCGAACCTGGATCGAATCCGAATCTGAAATTTAAAGCTGTTATCGAATCCGAATATTTAAACCTGTTCAGAGTCGAATCCAAATCCGAGGAAAGTCAGCAGTACCAATTTTCAAATTTTTAGACCACATTTTCTGGGGCTGAAATAACTTAGGGAATTGCTTAAAAAAATTCTTGAAATGGGCCAAATAAAAAAGTTATAAAATTTAGGCCTACCTATTTGAAGTTTTGAAACTAAAAAATTGTGCATAAGTTAGGCATACCACCTAGGCCTAAGTTGCTCGCTAAAAGTGGTGGACTACCAATTTGTGTAGTCTAAAACATAGGCCCAGCCTATTATACACCTCGGTGTTAATCCTCCACACAAGCCTATGTCTGCATTACTATTACAAGTAACAACTAACACTGTGAGGTTAAGTTTACTGATAGCCAAGATAGGGTTCAAATGCGACCTACACTAATGTGCCTAAAGCCTAACACCAAGTTGGTCAGGTTCCTAACATGAACCAGTCAACAGCAAATCGGAGTGCACAAGTAGTTTTTTAGTGTCTAAAAAATTATATTGAAAATTATATTCAATCAGAATCTAGTAAATTTGAATATCGAATCCCAACTCGGATCTATTTCCAAGAAATTCGAATATCGAATCCGAACCCGGATCTCTTACCAGTAAATTCGAATATCGATTCCGAATCCGAATCCAGTTAGAAACAGTAGATTCGTTCTCGAATCCGAATCGAATCTCTAAAAAGATTCGGATTCGATTCGTTTTTCGAACTATTCGCACAGCCCTGAAAAAAACAAATCTTGATTGTAACCGTACAACTTTATTTTAAGAATCTTAAATTTAGCCAGAAAATGCTGTTTCCAATGTTTCAATACTTATTATTTCGTTATCTCTGTTCATTTATAGGTCTGCAAGAACAGGACAACTATAATTGTTGCTCATCGGTTGTCCACAGTCATACATGCTGATGAAATACTTGTGTTAAGAGAAGGGGAAATAGTTGAACGTGGAAGGTGAGTTTATTCACAGGGAACTAAAAAATTAAATTATTGTATGCTTTTCAATAGAGGAAGTTCTCTAGTGTAAAAAAGTTATCCTTGCCTGGGATACCTTTACTACATAAGTGGTTTTTTTCTACATAAGTGGCTTTTTTCTTGATAAGTGGACTTCCGTGGCAGATCCAGTGGCGGATCCAGAGGGTGGGCGAAGGGGGCGACCGCCCCCCCCCCCCTCGGGCATATATAATATATTTAATTATTTGTCACACTAACTTCGGACAAAGAAATGTTATAAAAATGCCATTTTGGAGACTTAGTGTACACAAATTTTTCGGGGTGGTGATGGGGGGGGGGGTACCTCTGAATCCCCCAGATCCCCGGTTGGCCCCCCCTTGTGACTGTTCTAGATCCGCCACTGAGTAGATCTTAAGATGAGCTCTGAACCATTGGGACGCAATACTATTAAATTAACATTTGGTTTTTTTTTTTGCGGAGAAAGTTCTTCAATACAGAAAAAGTTTTTGTCTGAAAGACTATTTTGTTTTTAAAATAGTAGGGGTGTGCGAAGCAGCATCATTTTTTTTATTCAAATTAACGATTCGATACAAAAGGTTTTCAATTCGAATCGATGCAACTCGATTCGAAGCAATACGGCATTTTTCTATTCATACTTGAAAATCGAGTGAGGTAACAATAGGCTAACTAAGCACCTATTTTATAATATTGATTTTACAAATAAAGATATGTTTTGGTGTAAACAAATAAAAACATTTGCAAGATTTATACTGAAACTTTCAATTGGTTCACATTAATAAAATGAGAGGATAGAATCAGACCTACAAACTACAAGGAATACATAGCAGACCTACAAAAATACCAAATGTATCAGTCTAAAACATCAATATTACTCGTTAAGTATCAAGTAACAATCTTTCAGACCTGTGTTATTTTTAGAATGATTTTGGAGTGACTTGTTTTGGCTATTACAGTAGTGAAACATGTCTCACACTGTTTACAATTAACAAAACTTCTCATCATTTGTAATGTCAAAACAAAAAATTATAAAACAATTAAAGCAATATTTACAAGCAAAGAATTATTAAATAAGAACGCCTTCACAAAGGTAAACCTATGAAACAAAGTCCTCGTTGGCTAATGGCTAACATCTGTTTTGACACCTAGAAGCTTGATATTAGAGCCCCATTGTTTCTAATAAATCCAAAACCATGATTCATTTTTAATTGTAATGTTTTTAAATAACCATTCAGTGGTCTTATTTGTATATTTAATATACATCATATGGCGTTTATATATCAACATTTTGATTCAAACTTCTTCAGTTTGCACTCACATTTTTATATCAAAGTGGTAATTTTATTTTTAACGTTGACATAAATGATTTTTTATACCTGTAGACACGAAGACCTGGTTGCGGCCGGAGGAGTTTACGCCAACATGTGGCAGCAACAATTGGAGAACAATGAAGCCAACGATGGCGACCAGGACCCTAGTCAGACACCTGCAGACGATGAAACTGCCAGATAACAAAAAATGTGTTTTAGCTGTATATAGGTATACTTTGTTTTAGTTTTAATAAAATGAACAAATCACTCTAATTTGTACCTCATTACCCTCTCATCTTACTAAATGGCAAACATGTTCAACAACTGTAAATGTAAAAACATGATTAAAAATATAAATAATCTAGGTGCAACTTCAACTACCTAGGTACCAAAATGCTCACGCGATAAACATAAAAATATCCAAATCTTAGAGATTTTTTTTTGGAAATGTCTTGTTGTGGCATAAAGAATTTGTTCTGGATAATGTAAGAAAATATATTGTGCAAATAAAACAAGAATTCTTTGGAAAACTGATACAACCACACATTCATTAGTCATGAAAAATAATTTAAAATAAACGGTTTCAGCAATCTGACACATACTTTCTCCCATTAGCTTCTAAACAACCTTTATCACGGGTAAGTGATGAGAGTAACTATGATTTGTAATAGGTAAAATCGTAAAAGTTGCCATTCAAGCATTGACTATTGATAACATACAATAAACATTTTATACTTATATGCCAACCCCGTACCAAGAACGGGTACTCTGCTAGTATAATAATAAAACTAGAATATATTTGTAATTTCAATCAGGCTGCTAAACAAACTATTAATATTGACAATGATAAAACTAAGCAGTGATTAACTATTTTTGGTTTGATTTTTGCCGCTTCGATTTCCCCTTTGTATATAGTATTAAGAATTTACCTTATTAATTGTTTTTCTCTTAAATGCAATTAAAATTGTTTACAAAATATGTTAGGCCTAGACTTGATTTTGATCATCTTCGGAAAGTAAATAAAAGAAAAACAGTGAACCAATAAATTGAAACCTTTCCAACTAAATTCCCACTGGGAAAAGGGAATCAGTATTTCCTGGAAACATACTTTATTGCATTTACCTCCAAAGTTTCTCATCTAAGTTGGAGGATTTTATCTAACACAAGTTACCAGTTTTAAGACGTAGTTGGAATAATTTCCTAGCTAATCATTCGGCCTGTATTCATAAATATACTGATTATTTATCATCTTACTAATATTATAATTAATAAATGTAATTTATTTATTGCGATAGTAGTACCCTAAGATCTGATCACGCAATGATTCTATATTCTTTCTGGTTTTCTTTGGCTTCTTTCTTCTACTATGTATATATTTTTTTATCCAAAAACTATAAATATCATTCAAACAAATAAAATAATACCCCCACTGCAGCAAACAGGCTGACCAAGTGAACTGACATTTGCCTGATTGGATTTTCACTATTTTCTTAAACATGTCAGATTGATTCCCCATTTTAATAACATTACTTATAACGAGAACTTAGGTTTGCTACTACAGGGAGGGTAGTAAAATTTTAATAGCTTAGTATTAATAAATACATTTGTCAAGTTGGGTCAAAATATATCCATAAACAAGCAGAAAACAACAATTTACCTATTGAAGGAATTTTACAACACCATCCGTTGTACCTACAAAGGAATTTTACAAAATTATAATTTTTTGAGTTTACTCCGTAACCAATTGCCGTACAAAAACACTTCAAACTACAAAATAAATTTTTAAGTTCTACAAAATGGTTTTGAGAGAAATTGGGAAATTCTATGTTTTGAGGGTAAAAAAGTTAGAAAAACCAAATGTTAACCCATAAAACTAATTTATGTAAAACCAAAAACCTTGTTCCAATGGTTTGATCCTGCTGGTTCACAAACTGGTCCCGGGTCTAGATCTTACCATTAGACCTACGGTAATAGCTTATTCCCTATGTGGGAAATCTGTTAAAATTCAACCTTTTCATCTTTAGCTGCATATTTTTATAATTTAAGAGGGTCCCACCCGCTGGCTGGTTACCCTAAACATGGTCTTAAACTGTGTTTATCAAGTTGAAATAAAGTGTAAAATATTCACAAAGATTCAAACTATGTACTTCTAAATTTTATATTTAAGTGTTATTAAAAATCATTTTGAAATATCCATAACTGCTTACAGGAAGACGGTATGTCTTCACCAGGAATGTTGCATTCAAATGGAAGTGGCCATAGTAGTTGCCGGTTGCCGGTAGCCGAGCCCGCACGCAGGTGCCTGCTTACTGGAATGAATTATTCATTCTGGTTTTAGATCCTGATTCAGATATTGCTCGTATGCATACTATTTTATGAAAAAATTTGGTTTTTATGGTAAAATATTTAATTTTTCATCCTTACTTTGGAGGGTTACCACTAAACGGTCTTCAGGTTTTTTTATTTATATAGGTTACACCAGTTTCTTATAATACGATGTTCAATTTTAATCATCTGTTTCTGTGGTTTCGAGCTCCATTCAACGCAATATAGAAAGAATCTCTATCATTTCTAGCTATCGGAAAAGAGATATAAAATATCATGAACAGCATTTTTCACTGTTTTTAACTTCACTACAGTTTCAGACGCTATAATTTTACACGTTAATTCTTCATCCAACAGTTCCAAAACTACGACTGACTTGCTTCTTTGCTTTAACCAATAATGGCGGCGTATTTCCTGCTTTGAATGTTGCCACCAACAAAATATCTGACTCAGATTAAACCACGCGCAAAAAATCTGAATCTGAATTGGCGTGCACTCTGGACGTATTGTTAAGTTCTAAATACGAAAAACCTTTGAACATATTTTCATTGAATATATTTTTTGTGAAATTTGTATGTTTTTTATTCTTTTTTTTATGAGAAATGTAGGTACTTGAATTGTTAAATATTTTTATGTTTCATTAGATTAAGTTATCCCAAGGTAATATTATTTGTTATATTTTTGAATGTCAGGTTAAGTGTAAGAAAGGGCCATGTGGCCCTAACTTTACCTTAAAAATATAAGATTTTATTTTCCTTTTATAATAAGCTATGTCAGCTATTCAATTCAACATTTTTCAGCTTATTGAAAAAAGACAATATCAATATAATGTATTGTGAATTGTTCTTCCAATACTGAATGGTAAATAATGTAAGAAATGTCTCTCTTTATAAACCGATAAGTTATCGGAAACTATTTAAATACATTCAAATTGGTGATTCAATTAATAATTTTTTTAAAATTGTATCCTGACTGTGAGAAGGAGAAACTAAGAACTTCGACTTTGGATTTAAAATCATATTGAGGCAAGCTTAAACAACTATTAGTGTTTTATAATGAAGCACTACGCCTATTTATTGCATTATTGAAAACATCAAGAAATCAAGATCACTTATGTTTACAGTAAAACCATGTAATATTATTATGCTTCAATTACCGGTACTAAATTTAATTACTTTATAAGTAATAAGTTTATTCCAAATAGCCTTTGCATTTTATTACTTGATGATTACTTAACTATATCTGTAGTTTCTTAATTACCAAATTTAATTTATAGTTACCAAAAATAACTGAACTCTTAAATATTTGATTATTTAATTCTAGGAGTATTTTTGGTAAAGGTATTGACAAAATGATTAACAATCCAAGGGATATTACACTACACCCTTGGGCCCGATAAAGGTAATTAATATCACTTATTGGTGCTCTGAACACCCCAGAATTTCCATTGAACCAGCCAAAGTGCCTGTCCTAACTGATCATTAAACATGATATCCCTTTCCAAACATTCAATACCTGGAAATGTTATTCGATCTGTAATTATATCTGCTAAGTACAGCAACTCAATGAATAATAGTTATCAATGAAAAAGCTATAGATACTTTAGTTTCATTTTAATATACTTTATTTAATCATTTTGCTTATTGATTAATTGGATTTCAAAAGTTCTGTAATAGTCCAGTAAAATAAGACATGGTGGTATGCAAAAAGTCGGGTAGTTTTGATTTTTGGACATGTTACAATCCAAGTTATCCACCTCGAGGTACCACGGCGCTCCACGGGGCGCGCCAATCGTTTACGAAATAGCAAAAATTTGACCATTCATTTGGTTTTTCAATCTATCTTGGGAACGGTTGGTTGTACTCAAAGTATTACTTTATTAAATTAAAGGAGGCTAAATTTGTGACAGTTTAAGCCCAACACCAAGTATGTAGCGTCTAAATACATACCTTCAAAATAAACAAATTTTCCAAATATGTATAAAAATTGTGACTTTTTCAATATTTCCACAATTTAGTTGTTTGAAGCAAACACCGAATGACTATGCTACTCTATTTGCTATTGATACTTAATTGTAATAAATGAAAGTATGAATAAAATACTCCTGTCACAGCAAACCTGCAGAATAAGCGATTGTCTATTATTTTGCCTCATTTGATATTCAAAAACCTATTTAAATAACATTACGTTTAACGTGTACCAAGGTTTGCTGCCACAGGGAGGGCAATAAGGTATATTTTATTATTTAAATAATAATAGTATGGTAAGAAACAAATAAATTTATAATTTTTTTGTATCTAGGGAAACATCCCTCATATGTGTATGTGTTTCATGTATGAGTACAGGGAAACTACAATAGCCAACAATATTCTCCATAAGAATAACATTATGGGGATTTTAATTTAGCATTTTTTCAAATTTTCTCCGAAACTAATAACTGTAAAAACATTTATTTACGTACTTAATTATTTGTTTTCTAAGCTCTACAAAATGGTTTAGAAAAACATTGAAAAACTTTATGTTTTGAGGGTCAAGAATGAAACATATAAATTCTTACCTATAAAACCCCCCCATAAAGAAACCGTTCCCATGGCCCAATCATGCTTCGCGAACTCGTTTCAATAAATGTAGGTTTACATGCCAAAAAATAGACCTTCAAAATATAGCTTCAACGGCAAAACTGCTCTTCTCAAATCTAATGACAATGAATAAGTGGGGTAGAATAAGACAGAAGCGAGTTGGTTTGTCCCATTTTACAACTAAAAATCGTAATATTTCAGCCATTTCTTATTCGATCTTTTTGAACTTGGTATCGTTTGATAGGGAATAAAAAATGCTAAATACAAGTGTTTTAGACATATTTTCAAAAAAATTAACCGTTTTTGAGTAATTTAAGTTTAAAAAATTAAAATGGCCACCATTTTGAAATTTTAAGTTGAATCAAGATG